ATGTGTTATGTATGTAGTGATATGTGTTATGTATGTAGTGATATGTGTTACGTATGTAGTGATATGTGTTACGTATGTAGTGATATGTGGTACGTATGTAGTGATATGTGTTACGTATGTAGTGATATGTGTTACGTATGAAGTGATATGTGTTACGTATGTAGTGATATGTGTTATGTATGTAGTGGTGTGTTATGTATGTAGTGATATGTTACATATGAAGTGATATGTGTTATGTATGTAGTGATATGTGTTACGTATGTAGTGATATGTATTATGAATGTAGTGTTGTGTTATGTATGTAGTGATATGTCTTACATATGTAGTGATATGTGTTATGTATGTAGTGATATGTGTTGCGTATGTAGTGATATGTGTTATGTATGTAGTGATATGTCTTCCGTATGTAGTGATATGTGTTATGTATAAAGTGATATGTTTTACGTTTGTAGTGATATGTGTTATGTATAAAGTGATATGTGTTATGTATAAAGTGATTTGTTTAACGTTTGTAGTAATATGTGTTACGAAATTATTATGTACAAATATAGTGATATGTGTTGTGAAGTGCTATGTGCTGTGTTTGTACTGTAGTAATGTATTAACATTAACAGATAGGATACAGACTTACTCATCTTCCAACAAAGGATAATAAGCCTTCTCATCCACTTCTGATAGTCGCTGTGAAATAAAACAATAAAAAGCTTTTTAAATTGTCATCAATTGATAAAACCAGGTCTTAATCTACAGTTGATCATGATTATGCAAGAAATAATGAAACCAATAAAAGTGTTGTCTCATCGCAAATATGGTAGAATTTGCAGCTAATAATTTTTACTGATGAAGGAATCAAATTTACAAGGATTAAATTTCCCAGTATGGAGATAAAAGGGTTTCTAATTTTCACATACTGGTAGATTGTCTCCGATGTTAACTATCAATAGATATCCTGTTTATTGGCCTAACCTCCTGTTATCCTGTTTATTGGCCTAACCTCCTGTTATCATGATTCTAAACCTATTCCTTGTATGTAGCATACATCATAATGTAGATACATGTACATATGAACTGACACACATAATGTAGATACATATGAACTGACACACATCATGTAGATACATATGAACTGACACACATATGAAAACTCCTTTACCGTTTTTACCAGTGATAAACCCATGCCTGGTAATAAACCCAACCCAAACTTATCTATGCAAGTAAATTATTATCTTTAACCGACATGAAAACATTATAAATCTATACTTATCCATACACATGTGATAACAGATTTACAAATGTAGGATAGTACTACACTCTGCCATATTATTTCCCATACAACTGTATTTGATTTTTATGATTTTGTATTTATTCAACAAATTTGTGAAAAATATCAACCCTTCAAAAAAACCTCCATCCCATGATAGCTGTATGATTGCTGTCACTTTGATATCATTGTATCTGGTAATATGTCAAGTGATGTTATGATGCCACCTGACATTGAAACTAGAGATGAAGCAGCACACATTGTGTAGTTTTCTCTAGCAAAGTTGTGCAAAAAAATAAAAAAAATACTCATGCATTCTCTAGGACAGTTGGACAAAATGATTGCATAATACATTCATCAAAAGATAGTTCCTTAATTTGTTGCAATTCACATTAACTCGAAACCTTTCCAGTAAGTTTTCTGAAAAAACCCCATAGTTACATTTCGTAGTTGTTCCTGTGAAGCTGTGATAACAATGCTGTCCAGTAGTTCTGCGCGGTCTCTCCTCTGTCCAAACACGTCGCCCTCATTGGTACAGAAACTAGGGGAGACATGGAGATACAGGTTCAGGTATTTTAATTAATTTGATTTTAACTAGATTGAGAATACATTATTAAACAAAACTGTTCTATGATCTACATTTCTCAATATATATATATTATTATTTGATATCTTTGGCAAGACATAAAAGGATTTTGTGTTGTGGTTCCTATGAAATTAGTCTAGATTTTTGAAGCAGATGTTAAGACATTAAAGATACCATTTTGAACCATTTATTACTATACTTTTAAATACATGATTTTATATCTCATTTAGTAAAATACAAAATATGAAACCAATCAGACACTATGGTGGTCATCTTGGATTTTCAATCAACCAGAAACCTTAATCATAAAGTCACACTTATCTCACTGCTTATGTAATGGGGGTTAAAATGTAACTGGGAAGGGGAATACTGAGGTGTTTGTTATACCTGGGAAGGAGGGTGATGGGAGGTTGTGTTTACCTGGGAAGAAGGGTAATGGGAGTTAGGTTTACCTGGGAAGGAGGGTGATGGGAGGTTTTGTTTGCCTGGGAAGAAGAGTGATGGGAGTTAGGTTTACCTGGGAAGGAGGGTGATGGGAGGTTTTGTTTACCTGGGAAGTAGGGTGATGGGAGTTAGGTTTACCTGGGAAGGAGGGTGATGGGAGGTTTTGTTTACTTGGGAAGAAGGGTAATGGGAGTTATATTTACCTGGGAAGGAGGGTGATGGGAGGTTTTGTTATGACTAGTCCTTCTTTGCGTAGTAAAGCCTCAAGGTCACCACCCGCCAATCTCCACAGATAGTACACCTCCTCCATGTTCCTCAACGATAGGTGGTCAAAGTCAAAATCTGGACAGATCAATCAACATATCAATTAATCACTCCTGACACTAATACTATATACACTCATTTTGATGTGGGTTGATTCCTGTTTATTTGATACATACCTGTAAATATATCCTGTTGATGGCTGCATTACAGTCGAAATATAATGATAAAGGGGGAAAAACATTGTTGAGCAACCTTATACTGTAATTGTTCTCATCCAAACAAGGGTGGTATAATACAACTTTCCTTCCTTAAACAACTTGTTTTAACTTTATCCATTTATAAGCCAGCAGTATGCAGGATAAACTGTCTGGTAAATATTCATTTAAAGTGTAATGTTAATCTGTTCATTCATTTTCTCACAAAACCAAACATGGTCAGGTAGGAGACTAAAAATCAGACATCTTCCTGATTTTAAGACTGAGATCCAGGCCAAACTATCACTCATCAGATGACCTCTATAAACAAACCTTGCATTATTGTACCATTTTCTCCATAGACAGGTAGTTCTAGATCTTTACATCGTGACTCTGTAGAGAAGAGTTGGAACCCGTTCCTGTATGGCACCTGAAAGCATACATGTGGTCAATTCATTGTTCATCTAAAACATTTTTTAAAACAATTCATCCGATAGGGACAACAAGTTAATAACAGGATTTTTAAAAATCAAGCACAAATAAAAACTTTGAATCCAACATAGTTTAAGAGTAGTGTTATAATAGTAAGAGGCCCAGAGGACATGTAGCCCTCACCTGGACCATATTATCACTTGTACATGTAAGCTAACCATACATTGCACTTGTTTTCAGACTAATCTTAACTCCTGACATAAAATGTGTACATGCTTTTGTAAAATAAGGAAATGACCTCTGATCTCTAGCATTAATGTTATCAATGGTTCATTCTAACATGTCTTGGGGAACAAATAAAACAGGTATGACAGAAATTGATGTTTCAATTTTTTTACCAACTTTACTTTAGAAAGTGATCTTGACCTTTGACCTTCCATATCTGTAATCACTTTTTTTGAAACAATATTTTCTTAACAACTGAGCAGACACAATACTGTAAGTCTTATAATCATATTCTATCTAAAACATAAAAATAAATCTTAATTACCTCTTTCAATCTGAGCTCTGTAAAAATGTCATCCTTCAGTAGTTCAGAAGGACTAGGCCTGCAAAAAAGGGTAACTCAATAAAAATAATTATGATTTTACAAAACTCAAATTACAATAATGAACAAAATATAAACTCTGAAAGTGCACAGACCATTTATCATTAATTTCACAGCTACCCCTAAAATCATCCATTTCTCAGTGTCTCATATCACTTCTTTTCAGACAGTAATCCCCCAGGTCACCAAGTAGTAATATATTGTAGGCAAATTACTGTAAAACACAAAATGTTTGTGGGTACTTTCCTTCGTGGTTTAAAGCCATTAAGATCGTTTCGTGGTACAAACTTTCGTGAGTATCCTATATTAACAAACAGTACACACATTATTGCATACAAATTGGTCGTATTCAATAACAACCAAGAAAACCACGAATATTTCTACACAACAAAGATTTTATGTTATACAGTCGACCAATTAATTATGAATGCTGTACTGTACTGGCTAACTTTTTGAAACTTTAATGGGGAAGATAACACTATTTCAGAATTAAAGTCATAAATAAAACGTGTGTATGTACACCCTTGGAATAAAAAACACTTTTAGATGGTTTCGTTTGAGCACCTCTTTCATATGAAATCATCAGATCTTAGAAAATAGGAATAGAAATCACTGGTTGAAAATGCTCAATTCTAGGGTCCAATATGGGGAGTCTCCCTCCAAACTAGGGAGAGTTGGCAAGTATAAATGTGCCGTCAATGAACAAAGATCATTATTTATCTCCCTTACCTGTGTTTCACAGATACTGTCAAACATTTATTTAAAAATTCTACCACATCAGGCGTTAATGTCTGAAAAAAAAAGAACAACATATTATTGTTATATTATTGCACACACGGTTGACTTAATCTGTCAATTGACAGACATACTATAACAGTAAAAAGAGTCCTATCCAAACCGATGATTAAATCCTTGTATAATATTCATTATTTTATTAGTATAATTAATATATCAAATTTGCAATTATATAAAAACATTTGTATAACCGGTCAAACAAAACCAAGACACCCACTACTTACCTTCAGTGTTTCAGTGAGACTATTGTCCTTAGCTATACTCTGTAATGGGGACTGGTCTAAAAAACACAATAAACAGCCATCATCGTAGAGCCTCTGTATCATACTACTGCTGTGTTATCACTGAACATCGTATTAAATATCTAATTCTCAGTTACTAGATAGAACAATGTTACTTCAGGTCAGGAACATATTTGTGATGTCATCATGTATATTATCATCACTCATTAAAGTTAGAGAGTTTAACTTTTAGATGGAAAATAAATCTCATATTGGAGTATAAAATACAAAAAATGTAATCAAACCACCTGTCTAATTAGTCCACCCTTTATAGCCATGTCACCTCAGGCATACTCATTAAGGAAAAGGTTTTGTAACGTGTAGAACATTAATTAAATAATATTTCAGATTTTAATTGAATTGTCTCTGAGTGGGCATTTAAATAACTTTTGGTTTTGGTTCGTTTGTGTTTTGCGTCCTGTTAACAGCTATGGTCATTTAAGGACGTCATTTATGGTTTTGGTGGTGGAGGAAAGCCGGAGTTCCCGGAGAAAAACCACCGACCTACGGTCAGTACCTTAAAATACATGTACAACATTTCTGCCTAGACTAACTAGTACTGTTAATGACATTGATTTACCTGTTTTTAGAAAAGCAAATATCTTGTGGAATATCTGTGGCATTGTCAAACCAGTCCATAAGTCTTGTGCCTGCAAAAATAAACATACATCTGATATCATCCTGTCTGAGACTGAACCCTCAGACAAGCTGTCATAGTCTAGTGTCTACAGGGAGAAATGATAAACACCACCCTACAGCAGACTCAGAAAAAGTCCTAACTGTAATCAATTTTAACACATCTGGTAGCCCTACGCCTGGCAAGAAATACATCACTCTTGACAGGCCTCACAGTTATTTAGAAGAAGGGATTTGAAGATTGTAATACACTTGACCAATGCACATAACCTTGCACACACAACCTCTAGTAATTAAGATCATACTTACACACACCACCTCTAGTAAGATCATACTTACACACACCACCTCTAGTAAGATCATACTTACACACACCACCTCTAGTAAGATCATACTTACACACACCATCTCCAGCAAGATCATACTTACACACATCATCTCCAGCAAGATCATACCCAAAGACCATACATCCACCTTGGGCCCGGAGGGGTTTAGAACTTCAGGTTCTACATCAGAATGCTCATCCACAGTAATTGGGGCCTCTGCAAGAACCTCAGGAGCGAGGTACTGGGGCATCCTAGGAAACAAAAAAGTTGGATATACCTACTGCTGGGCAAACCCTAATAACCCAATTTACATCTGGACAAAATGAAAAAGAGCTTAAATTAAATTAGTCTCAAATACACAAAGAATATACATACCCAATAGGAAAGGCTACCTCAGCCCCATATCCTGTCATGTAGTACAGACCATACTCTGCCAACTTCACTTGACCCTGTAAACAAATATACTCTGAATATAAGTCTTTCTCACTTGAGAAATCTGCAATGTTCTTATGTTTGTCATCAATAGCAATGTGTATTATAAGACCTTAACAATATTTGCTAAAACATGCATTGCTTAAATGAAGGCACATATAGGAGGCACGGTTGCGGGTTCGAGTCATGGCACGGCACTGTGTTGTATCTTTGAGCAAGATACTTTACTCTGCTTGTTCCAGTCTACTCAACTGTAAATGAGTATGTGGTTGGGCAGTGCTAGAATTGTTGAATGTCGCTGTTAGTGCCGAAATGGCAGCTCCGGCTGTATGCTCCCCAGGGAGTTGATAAAGATATTGGCTGGTTGCAAAGGCCGTAAGCTGAGGAACATATGCAAAACTTTTAAAAATTGTATTGGAGTACTATCAAACATAGGCACCAGGTACTTAGTTATTAAAATTGTTACAAAAAAAAAGAAAGAAAAAGGAGTCCTTCATCACAGATGCTCTTCACACCTACTCCACATGTAATGTATAAACAAACAAGGGAAGTACATAAACAAGCATTACCTCAGCATCAAATAAAATGTTGTCTTTTGAGAGATTTCTGTGGGTGATTCCTATTGAGTTAAGGTAGGCCAGGCCTTTCAGCACTCCGTAAGCAATCTCTGTCAACTTTTCCCTGCTGTGAAATAAAGTATCCAACAGATTAATGCCTAGCTGAGGATCATCCTCTCGAACATCATTATCTATTTATCAAAGAACATAAGTAAAAAAACAACTTTGAATTTATTTCAATATGAATGTAGGTTGCTTTGATAAAAATAAATGACATGATTCATTATCATAGTGTCGATGTTACATGCTGTTCACTAAAACAATACCTGGAAAATGTGCTGGATTTACTGCTGAGACAGTTCCGGTAATGTTCACATACTATCACCATTCGTTCTGTGGAGTAGATAAGACACAATGATGTTTTTAAGATATTTTTTATCAACCAGATAATTGATCTGGATTTAGTGATCTATTTTAAAAACTACTGTATTGATCCGACCTACTTGATTTTGCCTTTTGTCACAGATTTCTCTCATATTCTTATTTGTAACCTTATTTGTAACCTAACTGATTACTTGTTAGGGACCCCATTTTGTAAAAGCACTGTTCAATTGAGATATATTACTGACCCCATCCATTTGCAGAAATGAGGTTTAGTATGTTCACAAACCATGCTTGTCTTTGACGATGTCCAGGTATTTACAAATCTGTGGGTGTTTCAGATGTTTGAGGCCTTGGAAACGTCCCAGGACTTTCACTGAGTTAGGTGTCAGAGGAAGACCATTAGCTCCACATTTGTCATTGGGATGGCTTCTAGTGAAAAAAGTTGTCACTCCATATTCTGCTTTTCCAAGCATCGTCATTTTATTTCTCGTAGAATGTAGCCAACGTTAACACTGAAATTAAATTTGTGCTCTGATAAGTACTATTTCAAAAATAACTTTTTGTATATAAAGGGTACAAAATTTAAAGTTAAACGCTAAAAATAGGAAAATCGAAGGCGCACCTGAAAAGTGACATGTATGTCATGCCCTAGGGACATCTGTCACAGGTGAGACAAAAGTGTACATCTAGTTATATCTTAAGATTTTTTTTAAAGTTTACCTGCATACAGGGGGAGGGCATATGGGGGGGGGGGGGCTATGGAATATTAGGACTCAGAATAAACATGGCTACATTCGCGTTACCGGTTGAAACGGTACGTGTGGCGCAGAAATTTTCCACGATAAACGAACACACTTGGACCGTTCTATAAGCAGAGCTAAAAATCCACAGTTTCGGAGAATAATAAACAATGTATCAAGAATATTATGCCCTTCTCTCACGCGTCCACTAAATTACATAACGTATCTTAAAAAATACATGTGGCTTGGCATTATTTTAGAAAGAAATAACGCAAACTAGCAATATTCAGCAGTTTAGTTTCGGCCAGGTACGTCTGGACCCCTCAATCTACACGTACCAAATTTTCCTGAGGCCAGCCTCGGTCCAAATCTGTACCTGTCGTTTTCTTTACAGGTTCAACCGGTTCAACCGTTTCAACCGGTAACGCGAATGTACCCCTGGTCACTTTCTTTCATAAAAATATGTTATGACCAGGGTTTATGTAATAGGATGGAAGTAGTGAAAGATATACATATATATAAGATTTTACTGAAGATAATACCAGAGATTTTCAGTTGAACCCTCAATGCTGAGCTGAATGGCAATTCTTTTTGGCCAAATTAAATTCATCACGATACTGCCCCCTTTTTCCACTTATGAGAGCACCTAGCTATTAAGTATTTAAAATTTTTGCTGTATCCCTTTGACTGTTTAATGGCAATAAAATAGACTTCAATGAATGGACATTGTTCAGCAGGGGGCAGTGCCTGCACATACTCATTAGTGCCAAATCCACAGTAATTAACAAGTGGCTGTTCTTTCCCTAATTCCAATGATAAATTAAGCTAACTAAACTTGTACAAATCTGGTCCCCATCACAGATTAAGGAAGTAGTGAAAAAAATACATGATTTCGCTGTGAATCGAAACCTGCAAACCAAACATCTATTCCTCAAAACCTTGTGTTGGGGCAAGAGGAGCCTAAGGCTTATTTACAATCTGTATCTTGTTAAACTGATTACCTAACTTATTTATACAAAATGATTTATAAAGTTTACTTCTTATTGGGGATAAATCTAAGCTTCTTCTTCTTCTTCTTCTTGAGTATGAGTGCAATTGTTGCAATCAGGTGTTTTTGGAGGTGGCATTTATGTCATAACACATTTTTATAAAGATTTTTGGAAATGAAAATGAAAATGATAACATGGCAACAAATGTAGGTTAAAAGAGAGTACATTATATACTGGGCAGAAGGCATGTGCAGGCAAGTGATTGGGCAACTCCCACCGACAATACCTACACAGTCATCTACCAGTATAAGGGAAGGGAATGGGTAACCCCTACCGACAATACCTACACAGTCATCTACCAGTATTAGGGAAGGGAATGGGCAACCTCCACGGACAATACCTACACAGTCGTCTACCAGTACTAGGGAAGGGAATGGGCAACCACACAGTCATCTACCAGTATTAGGGAAGGGATTGGGCAACCCCCACCTACAATACCTACACAGTCATCTACCAGTATGAGGGAAGGGAATGGGTAACCCCTACCGACAATACCTACACAGTCATCTACCAGTAGTAGGGAAGGGAATGGGAAACCCCCCCCGACAATACCTACACAGTCATCTACCAGTAGTAGGGCAGGAAATGGGCAACCCCCACCGACAATACCTACACATTCATCTACCAGTATTAGGGAAGGGAATGGGTAACCCCCACCGCCAATACCTACACAGTCATCTACCAGTATTAGGGAAGGGATTGGGCAACCCCCACCTACAATACCTACACAGTCATCTACCAGTATGAGGGAAGGGAATGGGTAACCCCTACCGACAATACCTACACAGTCATCTGCCAGTATTAGGGAAGGGAATGGGCAACCCCCACTGACAATACCTACACAGTCATCTACCAGTATTTGGGAAGGAAATGGGCAACCCCCACCTACAATACCTACACAGTCATCTACCAGTAGAAGGGAAGGGAATGGGTAACCCCTACCGACAATACCTACACAGTCATCTACCAGTATGAGGGAAGGGAATGGGTAACCCCTACCGACAATACCTACACAGTCATCTGCCAGTATTAGGGAAGGGAATGGGCAACCCCCAATGACAATACCTACACAGTCATCTACCAGTAGTAGGGAAGGGAATGGGAAACCCCCCCCGACAATACCTACACAGTCATCTACCAGTATTTGGGAAGGAAATGGGCAACCCCCACCTACAATACCTACACAGTCATCTACCAGTAGTAGGACACATTTTTATAAAGATTTTTGGAAATGAAAATGAAAATGATAACATGGCAACAAATGTAGGTTAAAAGAGAGTACATTATATACTGGGCAGAAGGCATGTGCAGGAAAGTGATTGGGCAACTCCCACCGACAATACCTACAAAGTCATCTACCAGTATAAGGGAAGGGAATGGGTAACCCCTACCGACAATACCTACACAGTCACCTACCAGTATTAGGGAAGGGAATGGGCAACCCCCCCCGACAAAACCTACACAGTCATCTACCAGTAGTAGGGAAGGGAATGGGAAACCCCCCCCGACAATACCTACACAGTCATCTACCAGTATTAGGAAAGGGAATGGGCATCCCCCACCGACAAAACCTACACAGTCATCTACCAGTAGTAGGGCAGGAAATGGGCAACCCCCACCGACAATACCTACACATTCATCTACCAGTATTAGGGAAGGGAATGGGCAACCTCCAATGACAATACCTACACAGTCATCTACCAGTAGTAGGGAAGGCAATGGGCAACCCCCACCGACAAAACCTACACAGTCATCTACCAGTATTAGGGAAGGGAATGGGCAACCTCCAATGACAATACCTACACAGTCATCTACCAGTATTAGGAAAGGGAATGGGCAACCCCCACCGACAAAACCTACACAGTCATCTACCAGTAGTAGGGAAGGGAATGGGCAACCCCCACCTACAATACCTACACAGTCGTCTACCAGTACTAGGGAAGGGAATGGGCAACCCCCACCGACAATACCTACACAGTCGTCTACCAGTACTAGGGAAGGGAATGGGCAACCACACAGTCATCTACCAGTATTAGGGAAGGGAATGGGGGATAACATTATGTACAGCTCTGACAAGATTTGGCTCTAACAGAGGGTAGTTTTGGGTTGGTAGTCAGACAGAGCTGTTTTGAAAGAGTTCAGATCAGGTGACTGAGCTATATGTTCAGGTAGTGAATTCCATGTTCAAATATTCCTTGGGAAGAATATTAATAGCAACAAATGAAAACATACACATTGTAGGCTGAAATGTTACATGTGGTGTAGAATTCCCTGCTTATCCCAATAAATCTAAAACACAGTGAATCAGTAGTCTAGCTACAGATGCTCAGAGGGCNGGGGGGGGGGGGGGGGGTGCGTAACCCAATATTTCTACCTTCTATGTGAACTCGACTATATCTACATAGTAATGACCACCTTCATCTATTTGAAGATCATGTCATGTGATAGTGGGTGCTAGGCCAAGAGAAGAAAAGATAGTGAAAGGGAATATTTATAAAGTATGGGAGTTAGAAGTGTTTTTTTGTTTAGGGACTGTTTGAAGCAGTCAGAAGAGGTAATGGAGGTTATATCTGGAGGCAGGTTATTCCAGTCTACTATGGTACGAGGGAAAAAGGATTGTTGTCGTAGCTGTGTTTTACATCAGTGTTTGATATGAGTTCTGGTGTGCGTGTCTTGTGTGGTGAAATGGAGGTATGAGTTGGTCTTTTCTTATATTGACTTTGTCATGTATAGTTTTATGTAGTGTTGTCAGTTGCATGACTCTTCTTCTGTCTTCAAGTGATTGCCAGTTAATGTGTTGAAGCATGTCACCACTACTGGAGGTGTTTCAAAATTTGTTGGTGACTAATCTGGCTGCTCTACGCTGCACCATTTCTATTTTGCTTATGTCTGTTTTAGTATAAGGGTCCTAAAATGAGCAGGCATATTCTAGGGATGGTCTGACAAGTGTTTTATATGCCTGCTCCTTGACAGATGCAGAGTTTATCTTTAGATTTCGTCTGAGAAAGCCTAAGGTGGAGTTGGCTTTATTTTTATGACATTCCCACTTGAAATTTGACTGTATAGCGACACCTAAATATTTTGCTTTATCTACGTGTTGTAATTCCTTTCCGTGCAGCATGTATTTGTGATGTTGTGGGTGTTTGTTGTTGGTGATGGAAAGGACGTTACATTTGTCAGGATGGAAGGACATTTCCCATGCTATCTCCCATAGAGCTAATTTGTCTAAATCTTGTTGTAATAGCTGGGCATCAGATGGTGATTTGATAGTAAGATAGACAATGGTGTCATCTGCAAATAGGCGTACAGTGGAGTGAAGGCCAACAGGAATGTCGTTTATATAAAATAGAAAGAGGGATGGACCAATAATCGAGCCTTGAGGGACACCAGACTTGACATCGACAATGCTAGATTTCCCCCCTTCAACGATGACAGCCTGCTTCCTATTATCCAGGAAGATTTATATCCAGGTGTTAACCTTCTCATTTACACCATAATGATGAAGCTTGGTCGTTTTTTTCCCCTTGTCAATGTTGGAGCTGACATCATCAACAAATTCAATGAGCTGACTCTCACATGATACTGACCTTCGAAAACCGTGTTGGAGTGGGTAAAGGATGTTATGTTTGTCAGCGTGGTTCATGATGTTACTGACCACTATGTGTTCTAGAAGTTTGCTACAAATACATGTGAGAGAGATTGGCCTGTAATTTTCTGGATTTGATTTAGAGCCCTTTCTATAGACTGGAGGGACATGCGCTAACCTCCAATCAGAGGGAACTGTGCCAGAATGAAGAGATTTGTTAAAGATGATAGAGAGGACAGGGGCAATTTCAGAAGAGAGTTCTTTCAAGATCTTGGGCTTCAACTCGTCAGGTCCAGCTGCTTTACTAGGGTTTCTATTTTGCAGTAATTTTTGTAAGCCATTTGGAGTGATATCAAATTCTGGCATAATAGGGTACTGGGTGGAGGATGGGATGTTACATCTTTTAAGGAATTCATCAGAGGATAATTTACCACCTGGGATAAAAACAGACTGGAATTGAGTGTTAAGGGTCTCAGCCTTACTTACAGGGTCAGTTACAAGTTTACCATGTGATTTTAGAGATGATGAACCATAATAGTCGGTCTTCTTATGCTTTATGTATGACCAGAATCTTTTGGAGGCACTAAAATTATTGTAATTTTCTTGTGGGGTAAGAATGCCTTCAACATATTGCCAGTAGGACCTTCTGAGTTTCTTTTGAATGTCTTGCCTTAGAGCCTTGTATTTAGCAGGTTCAGTACACTCTGTCGATTGAGCTATATAGCTATATTCAACTATAAATGATAGCTGTATTGGACTATAATTTCTCAGATTTCAATTTTCATTAAATCAAAGCAAAGTCGCGTAAAACAATAAGGTTTATGGTAATGTTGACTACAGAAAGTATACAGTTGGATGTTTATTTTCATTTTTCATAAATTTAAAATTTCCGATTTTTTTTACATCATTATTTTTTTTAAAAGAAGACTTATATTTGATGTCTTTTAAATTTGTTATCAACCTAATGATAAAATCTTCTTTTAAAAGCGACTTGGTTTCGTTTTCCTTCAAAAAGAAAATCACACGAAAATAGCTCAAAAGACCTATTTCAGATAGGTCAATAGAGCTATTATAGGTCTTTACAGCTACATGTATATAGCTCGGTAACAGGTCACCTCGGCACTATAGCTCAATCGACAGAGTGTGTGTACTGGACATGTTTCAGTTTAGTCCTCATGTTCAGATCACCAGACTTTTTTTTACCTTTTTATAGAGTCAATCTCTTTTCCTGAGAAGGTGTTTAATGTCAGGAGTGACCCAAGGTAGACTAGGTTTGGGTTTGATGGTTTTATGAGGTATGTTGTCCTTTATGAGATCACAGAGGGTTGGTTTGAGGAGTTTACATCCCTATTTGTGGATCGACTAAGTGAATCAGCCGATCGTTTCTCAGAAGGATGCTATTGATTATGAAAATAAACACATACTTTACGGTATTACATCGTGTACATTTCTGCCCCGTATACTTTCAGACTGTCAGCTCCGTTGTTATCTCGTCTGAATAACACATAAACTGTTGATAAACATTGTGGGCAAAATGAAACTACAGCAGAACCGGGGGGTGTAACCCTCTAGCTCTAAGACTCAGTTGCGTATAAAATGGTTTAAGAATATTGTGAGCACTAACGTTGAGAATATATTACATTCTTTTACATTACTAAATAACTTAAAAGTAATTTTGTTATCAAATTTAAATTTATTAATGTAGAAAATTATATACGAAACTTCGGTTATAATTAGATAAACAAATCAACATGGCAGACGATTTACCGTCAGACTTTGACGTTGTCGTTCTGGGTACAGGTATGCGGCTTATTTAGGAGAATGTGTCACATTTGAGTAGTGGCATTGCGGAGATAAACTGAAAATGCCTTTTGTGTGGTACTGTGATCCTTGTTTGTTGTTACATTATTGGTTAAGATATGAAACTGTACGATCTTATCCCTGTTTGCCTCCATGTTCCTAATACAACCTGATCATGACTCATCGTCATATTTCCATCTAAACCTTCATTGCGATTTCCTGATAAAAACAAATAAGCGAAATACATCTGTTGAATATACAGAAATATATCTGAGCTTATATATATAATTGAATATGGTTTGTGTCTATTTCAATAAAAAGTCAATAAATTTTCCAGAACATTTTCCAGGACATTAATTGTATAAATTTAACAACATCTATAATGTTCAGGTTCAACAAGAACCCTAAAAGATGTTAGAGTCACCCTCAACCCTACTCCAACAATGTTAGAGGTTTTACACGGCGAAAAACTTTTGACAGGCGCCGCGTCGCAGTCGGCAAAATCATATCCGATAGAAAAAAAGTTCGACCAGTGGCCTCTCATGTTATAGGAGTACCTCAACCCATGTTAAGTCATATAAAAAATCGGAATAAATATATGTGAAATTTAAATATATTGAACATGTACCTTGGTAATTAAAAATGTTCATAACCAGGTTAACGTAGTCAATAATAAGACATTAAGGCTGATGTCTTCATAAAAATAGCTCACCAGACTTAAAACATGTTGATCTCTTCTGCGACCCAAATGAATGCTAGGAAATGACATATTATTCAAAGTTCATTTATAATACCTACATGTAGGTCATGCGGTCAAGGTAATGGAAAATCATCTTAATATAAATCGGGGCAACTGTGATCAATGTGCTTCTCCATGAGAAATGCCTGAGAGTAATCAGTTGTGTTTTTCTTGTAGGGTTGCCTGAGAGCATTCTGGCCGCAGCTCTGTCCAGAGTCGGCCAGAAAGTATTGCATATTGATAGGTGAGTTACCAAGTATTTATTATATGCAATGTGCTTCTTTTAGATAAGTTTAAATGTTTGGGAAAAGTATGATTCAACTAACAGAATTCAAATAGATGGTATGGAATATGTACAAGAAACGGTGTTGGTAAGTATATATACATCCAGAAAATACCCCAAAACAATATTATGGTAGGATGTACAGGTACATTAGAATAAATTTCTGTTGACAAGTAACAAAAATATAAGATTTTCAATCTTGTGTACATGCTTGTCTTATACAGAGATATCAAAGGTTGTCATTTCAAATAAACATATATACTATAAACAGGGATATGTATATACTTATTGTTATCTTTATCATTTAAAACATAAATAACAATTTCACATAGGAGCAAATTTTGCAATCCCAGTATATTGTCATGTGAACAAGGTCTGCATCAATTGGTAGCATTTGTAGAACGGGCCCTGAAAAAACGCCATGTACAGCAACTTCATGGAGGAACCTCCACATGCACTCCCTCTGTCTGATCATAGGTTGAGCCTGAAACGTCTCCACATGGGGTGTGGTGGTGCAGATTCTCACTGTATTGGTAAACTCCAAGGCACTGTCTTAGCAGTTGGCCTTAGCTTACTTGCTGCGTTTTTTCTCAATCCAGGCTATTCTTCAGTCCCATGCAATGCTTAGATTCTGAGTATGGGGAATCCTCAAATGAAGTTTTCTCCATGGCATCCATCAGTGCAGCCACTCTGGAGGAGGCTTCTAACTCCTGGGCACTTGCTCCTGAGGTAGCTATCCCACTGGCACTGCTACCACCAAAAACATGTCCCGGGTCTGCATCAATTGGTAGTGTTTGCAGAACGGGCCCCTGAACACATCACATCTCTATGTCCTGATCTGAATACTTGTGTGTAGGTCCTTTTATGACTACTGGTCACGGCCATCCAAGGAAATCACAATGCAAGGTTTTATTAAGACAAAGGATACCAAAGGAAACAATCTTGCCTACTGATGGTGCTATTGTGAAGTATCGACGAGGTTTATGCTATCATCATGCTTGATACATATATATAGACCTTGTACACATTTATTCTGATGTTTGGTTTGGATTTCTACAGGAATGAGTACTACAGTGGACAGTGGGCATCATTTAACTTAGAAAATATCACCAAATGGACAAAAGAGGTAAGTTTGGTGGAAACTTTATTGACAATAAATTTTCAAGGAAAACAGTTCATGACCCATGCACAAATATCATGATCAGTAATAAAGATGTCAAGAGTAATGAGGTAATATAACTTTTGAACTTACATATTTGATGATGTGAGCTTACTTTGCTGGTAAATTTATGAAAATCAAAATAGATTCTTAATTTAAACAATTAAATTAAGATTATTTTCTTTTTTTCCTTTTTTTCGTCATAAGTGATTCATATTATTATGTTGTATTTTCCATTTCTTGTTGTAAATTTAGTTGTTGATGAATTTTAAAGGGTAGAAATAATTTAAAAAAAATCCCCCATCAATTACTACAACAGGCGATGGGTGAACTTGGGCTTGAACACCCCACCATAGAGGAGGATGTTCTACTACAACCTGGAGAGACACTGTCCCGGTTAGATTTGTCTGTAAAGGGCAAAACCTATTTCAATATAGCTTCAGAATACCATGTTAGGTAAGGAGGATTTTGTTTTTGTTTTTTTAAAAGTCATTCAGCTTTTAATCAAACATGTTTGGAATTTTCCTGAACATGTACATGATGTTATTTTTTTATCATGAAATCCCTAACAATTGTTCTTTCCATCAGTGGGAGTATCTCACAAAAAAAAATGATGGTGAAATACAAGTTAAGGGGTATTTCTCTTTAGCTTATTTGTTAGAGAGTCAGATTGGTAAACTAAAAGTCCTGTGTTTGAAAAATAAAGATTCCATTAGATTTATACTTTGATATAATCATGTAGCAACGAAGAAGAAGTATTGGACAAAACTGACATCGCAAAGGAATGTAGATCAGACGACAAGATGGACAAATTAAATCCAGATCAAGTTGAAGAAAATAAAGATGACAATGACTCTGAATCCAATAAGGATACCTTAGAAGCATCAGAGGAGGCACAGTCTGAGGAAACCAAATCAAACACAGAGACAGAAGCCATTTTAGAAGATAAAGAAACAAAACCCATGTCGGAACATAAAACTGATGAGACCTTTAAAAAACCTTCTAGTAGTGAAGACTCTGTGGTGAAGGCCGAAGTGACAGAAAGTAAGAAACCGGAGACATGGACAGCCTCCAAGCTGAAGAAGGATTGGCGCAGATTCAACCTTGACCTTGCACCCAGGGTGAGTAATGGAACCTATATCAGACATTAAAGTTCAGCATTGTAGTATTCTAGCTAGGTTAGAAGTGCATCATTCATCAGTTGTTTGTCCTTCAATTTTTGTTATTGTCATCTTTTTAAGAACAATAGGATTAAGGGACAGTATAATTGGCATGTAGCTTTGCTGAGCAGAAGGGTTTGTAAAATTAAATTATCTTGACCTTTTAAGGTTCAAGGTAAATCTTGAAACATTCACATTTGTTGAACTATTGAACCATAGAGAAATAATATGTGGGCTATATCTTGCTTTGAAGAATGTCTGTTGAAATTGTTTAAACATTTTGGTTGTCAATGGATAACCGGTTACTTGGTCGGAAGGTAGCAGACAGGTAACACAGAAATCATTAACCAAATAATCGGACATATATAATTACCTGAATGGAGCCCATGTTTACCTGAGTGAGATCAGGTATCAATTAAAAACAATGTGAACACTAATCAATACCAAATTCCTATCAATTAAACAGTGCATAGCCAAATTTGTTAGTATTGTTTTTGAACTCTATAGGAGTAGGACATGCCGTCAGTTTAGTCAAAAGCCTTTAAATAACTTGAATGGGGGCCAGAAGTGCTTGTGAAGGGGAGGGGCTATCAAATATATTCAAATTAATGCCCTTGACAAGGTTACACTAGTCATGTGTTGAAAAAACAAACTCTTCCTTAATAACTACAGGGCTTGGAGTCACCTAATTTTGATCTGTAACTATATAGGCTTAAGGGCTAGCAATGATGTCAAAGTAAATGACCTTGACATACAATGAAGGTCACTTTTATCGCTTTTGAAAGACACATCACATCAACCATTTCAGCACTAAATATATCTTAATAACAAATGTGTCTCAAATTTCAAATGAACTGGAAGTTTCCCTGAGTTTTGATACATATGTTAAGTACTCAGTGCTAGTGAATAGATCAAACCCTAATTGCAACCTCACTTTCAAAGAACAGTGTCATACACAGAAGTAGGAAACTTTTATCAAAAGTTACCACAACGTGCATTTACTGTTTACAATTGACACGATCCAATAGACAAAAGAAAAGATCAATCTTACGTAGGACTTATGAAGATGGTATGATGGTGGGTGTCAAGATCCCTCATGGATCTCTTGATTTCTAATTTGAAGTAAAAATGTTTTTCTTTTCAAGTTGTTATAACCGTATGTTCCAGTTGCTGTATTGTGCAGGAAGCATGGTGGAGCTACTGATATCATCTGATATAGCCAAGTACTGTGAGTTCAGGACAGTTACCAGGGTACTCACCTTCCTCAATGACAAACTGGAGAAGGTAAACACACAGGACCTAGGGGACACAACACACAGTTCAATGTTAATAACACAAAATATGCTTCATTGTTTATTATACAGCACTAATTAAGGACATGCCCAGTTAGCTGTTTGGTTGTGGAACATATTTAAGTACATTGGAAGCAGAAATAAAATGAGAATTTGTTTATGTATGACTTACATGTAGGTAATAGCATGTCGTTTTCACTGGAGAAAAATCATTTCACAAAATGTGACATAAATGAAAACACCATTTAAGGAGCCTCTAGATCCTACCACTGTTATTTAAGAATCCACTGCAAAAAATGTATCTGTTCATTGGAAACTGTTTTATCCGGCATTACTATATAGCTTTTATAAATCATTTCTGATCAGAAAACCATACCTTGTGTGGCTTTTACTATAAAATAACAAAGGTGAAATAAACACAATATAATCAGCAACAGTGTTCTGAGTATAAAAGTTCCGTGGGGCTAGACCGGGACTCGATCACTGTACCTAAGATTGTCATACTGTCACTCTGACTGAGCTGCCTGGAAAATGGAAATGTCCTGACCCAACTGAGCTATAGTTATAGCCAAAACTAAGGGGAGGTTACTGTGTAAAGGATATACTACAGTGCAGTGGGACAGGGATCCTTAAGTTTAATATCAGCAATGAAGTTCTTACAATTTGTTATGTGCTGGTATGTAGGTTCCATGTTCCCGGGCTGATGTGTTTAGCAGTAAGGATGTGTCCATGTTGGAGAAACGCATGCTGATGAAACTGCTGACCTTCTGTGCAGATTACACCAACCATGAGCACCAGTATCAAGGTAGCTGTCTCACCTGTCAGTCTATGTATAGTTCAAAGTGTTAGAATTTACAGCCTGAGTTGATAAAAAGAACATACCTAGGGGAAAACACTTAAATTAGCATTCTAGGCAGTAATGGGAAGGAAAACATTGCAATTGTAACAGTTGTCAAAGTATCAGTTAACTTGGCCCTTTTTGATTGAAAGGGTTAAACTATTTCTCACAACTATTACTTAGCTTACTGAAAGGTTTCGTCCTGACAACAGATTGGCCCTTTTTGATTTGATATGATTGCACTTTTCAAAATCTGAAAATTTTGGCCATGTGTCAGTTATTAAATAATGGAGACGTAGTTAAATTTATTTATCTTCATGTTACACAGCTATGTTTGTTTGTCATTTCAGATTTTGCAGATAAACCTTTCAAGGAATTTTTGAAATCACAGAAATTGACCAACAATATATGCCACTATGTACAACATTCCATTGCCATGGCAACAGATACCATGACAACAATGGAGGTATGATGTTATGATTATAGAACAGATAATTTATGATATTTATTTAATTCATGCCATACTTTTATCAGTCTCTGTACAGAATAGAGGCCGGGACTTAATGTAAACACTCCTGCCTCAGTGTTGGGTTTTTTAATGATGTATAACTTTTGGCATTTTTACTACGATGCTGATATTTGGTATGATGTTTCATAGCTGTCAAACACTAATGCAATGCTGTTATCTCTTTACCTAACACTCAAAAAAGACTATCACATATCAATATACATGTGAGGATTCGTTATGTTTTCCAAAGACATCTTAGTCTGAGATAAGTTAGGGTGCAATTTAACATATTTATATCATCCTTACACAGGGATTAGCAAGAACAAAGAAATTCCTCCACTCTCTTGGTCGCTATGGTAACACAGCTTTCCTATGGCCCCTTTATGGCAGTGGCGAGCTCCCACAGAGCTTTTGTCGGTAGGTTGTCAGAGAGCTAATGAGTCATTTTTAGCGAATTTTACCAGGTGTTTACTTATTATTCAGCTGTTCTTTCATATAAATATGTAACACATATGCATTTTATCATCATTTACTCAAAGATATATTTCAGTTTTAGTTTACATTATTGATACCGTGGCATATATAACATGCAAACTTTCCAGATGCCTTGATCAAAATTAAATTGTTCTAATTGTACAAAAACATGATATATTCTGGGTAAAAGGTTTGATTGTGTTCTCCACAGGATGTGTGCGGTGTTTGGTGGAGTATACTGTTTACGTACTGCTGTCAGCGCCGTCATCTGTGGAGCTGATAACAAGTAAGTGTACGAACCAGAAAGGTTTTACATGCAGTGCTCGAAACTGCAGGTCGCTGAATTGCCAATGGCGATTTAATGTCAGCTTGGACAAGGAAAAATAAGGAAGTAAGTAGTTTTCTTGGTGCAGATAATTTTGTTTGGGTAATCAGAATTATTGTACCGAGTAAGCTTGTGTAACTGTCGCTAATATGTATTGTTTACACATTTTGTTTCACCAAGCCCTGTTTTCAAAATGCATTGCGATGTTAATTTCCATAAAAAATTAAGCAAGGAATCTTTTTGGTTGAAATAGTTCTTGCGCACTACATCATCTACATTGACCAATCGAGGCGCGTGTACGTAAGTGTGTCGGTTTGTCAGTGTTGTTGAGTTTGACATTTTTGAGGTCAAAATGCTTGCCGGATGGAGTTTCCTCGGTTGAAAAAAGAAGCTGGTAAATTAAAGCCATCAAGTTAATAAGCAAGGTAAGATGAACATTATCAAAGATGTTTTATTGAGTACATTATAAACTTTTATTATCTATCATCATGTTAAATCCAACATATGTAGGCCCTGTACCAAGTAGTCAACCATCTATCGGCTACTTTCACTTTCAGTTTTCCTGTGAAGTCATGACTCATGATGATATGATTAATCAATATGTTCAATGCTTCCATATTCTCCTGCAAATATCAAATGGACATCATATGGATCATTGCATTTTTTTGTAGCAATTTTAAAACGCAGTGATATTTGTAAATGTTTATTGCCATTTTTGAGTGCATTTCACTTTGAATTTATTGGGAAATCTTAACAAAGTCAAAAGGCATCAGTCTGCTTCTTTCCCATTTGTTTTTTACAGATATGTCATCAATTACATGTACATGAAATTATTAAGTTTGTAAACATACTGGTCTCTGTTACACTCATTAAAAAAAGAATTTCCACACATCCCACTATAATAATCAGAGTAAATCACTAAAAGTTCTTCCATTTTCTGTTTGCAGGTATGAGCAAAAACATTGTGAATGCATTTTTGGTGAAGTGGGAAAATGGACGTACTTGGCTGACTATGGAAAACAATAGCATGTTTATTAAAAAAATACATGATCATGAACAGTTTTCGAGTGTTTTGTTTTATTTTCTCATGTAATGCAATAAATTGTCATGTGAAATTTGGATCACCAAACTGTAATTTGGGCCACCAGATTTAAATATTTACTTGCCCAAAACTTTTTCTAGTTCTGTACATGAACCACTTTATGGTAGGAACAACCTACACTGTAGATATTAGCATTTTATGGTAGGAACAACCTAGATATTAGCATTGTATGGTAGGTACAACCTAGATATTAGCATTACATGGTAGGAACAACCTTGACATTACCACTATATGGTAATTACTACCTAGATATTACCACTTTATTGTAGGAATGACCTAGAAATTACCACTACATGGTAGCAATGACCTAGATATTACCACTTTATTGTAGGAATGACCTAGAAATTACCACTACATGGTAGGAATGACATATATTACCACTACATGGTTGCAATGACTTAGATATTACTACTACATGGTAGGAACGGCTTAGATATTACCACTACATGGTAGGAATGACCTAGAAATTACCACTTCATGGTAGGAACGGCATATATATTACCACTTTATGGTGGGCACAACCTGTATGGTAAGAACGACCTCAGAATTACCACTACATGGTAGGAACTACATAGTACTACAACTATATGGTTGGAATGAATTAGATTTTACCACTACATTTATATATATAGAAGGGACCACAATGGATGTGTAGTTCCTCAAAAGTGGTATGTTGTTGACCCTGGTGGTAGTGATCACTCTCGTATTGATATCACATGACTCGGGACTGGTATGTTGTTGACCCTGGTGGTAGTGGTCACTCTCTTATTGATATCACATGACTCTGGACTGGTATGTTGTTGACCCTGGTGGTAGTGATTTCTCTCGTATTGATATCAAATGACTTGGGACTGCAATGTTGTTGACCCTGGTGCCAGTGGTCACTCTCGTATTGATATCGCATGACTCGGGACTGGTATGTTGTTGACCCTGGTGGTAGTGATCACTCTCGTATTGATATCACATGACTCTGGACTGGTATGTTGCTGACCCTGATGGCAGTGATCACTTTCATATCCAGGGATCAGATTTATGTACATGTATTTGTGCTTTTCAAAGTATTAAATCTATTCAATTAATTTACTGTGTATTTGTTTTTAAATGTTTCATTCAGTAAGTAAGAGAGGGACTTATTATTATTTGTAGCACATCTTTGGCTCCAGTAGCTATCCATGTATGTACTTACTTGGACTGTTGTGTAAAGTGTATGATTGTGTGTTATGTTTCAGATGTAAAGGGGTTGTTCTGACAAATGGACAAAGAATTAATTGCAGGTATGTAACTTAAGCATATTACTAATGATCAAACCAAATTAAAAAGATTATATACCATTTTAAACACTTAACTCTTAGTTAATGTGATAGAACTCCCAGATTTTTTCATAAAGCACAAAACTGTAGTATATCATCAAAATAATTGACAGAAATCAGTGATTGTATTAACTAAGTATATAAAGATGATGTGTAACAACATGATTTTGTTAACAGGTATGTCATCATGGAATCCTCATATGCCGATGCAGAGGACATGACTTATCGTGCCAAACGGTAAGTATAAAAGTCTAAACAGGATGACAAACTATCAGTTCTTTTATGCTTTTTTAATGTACAACATACTACATGCATATCATGGAATCTTCATATATTTATATTCCAACGATATGAAATCAGTGTTGTACTCTGAGGTTATGTATGTACTACATATATTATCCCTAAATCATTTTTTACTGGTTGTGTTTCCCTGGATTTTTTCCTTCTTAATTTGTGACAAAGTATTAACTTAACTTTAACTTACTTACCAGGTATTAATGATATCGGATTATATAAATATGTAAATCCTGTTCCCTAATCAACCCTCTTTAAAAAACATTGTGGACTGTTCAGAAATTATCTTAGAGCAGTAAGTTTCCAAGGTTGATGAAACTCTTACACTGATCATTTATTTCTGATAAAGAAATAAAATTATATAGTTATTTGCTATATAGAAGGGAATTTTCGATATTAGACATGTAATAACACTGTTACACTGTATACATTTCAGACATGTGAATCGAGGCATTTTTATCACAGATAGGTCTGTTTTACCGACCGAAGATCAACAGGTAATTGTACTTTCTACTTTGCATATTTTAGACTCTACACATTATTAAAAAATTACTTGATATTGCAAGCTAGAAAAATATAAGTTCTGTAATAATCTTTTATGTCCATATTCTTATTGGCAAGTCAAATCAATCTTAATAAGTAAAACATTCAGCTTTTATTGTCTGATTTCATCCATAACACAAATATTATATTATGCAACCATTTTTATCTAAAATCAAATTTTAGTGAATGTGCCTCTTCATAGTACTGTAGTATAAAACAAATGAAGTCATGATACAACTCAGTTTTGACTCTTAAAGTTCTCAAAAATTCCAGAGTAAGAACGATCGAAGAATATCTCTTCAGATTAAATTTGTTGATTTTAAATTTCTAATGTAAATTTGATATCAATCACTCAGGATGAATTGCTTCCAATATATAGAAATCTGTTAGAATTTGATATGCAGATGTGACATTTAGTGTACAAGTACAATTTTGAAAGTCTTTTTTACACATGTATGTATCATAATAAAATGTAGTACAAGACTGTGATGTACATGTGTTATGATATATTTGAACCATTCATATTTTTGTCTTGAATTTCTTGAATTATTACCATTGGAGAACCCCATTATGAATATTTCTTGAATTATCATTTTAAACTATGATATTATCAATTATATATCATGAGAATATTTTCAAATGAATATTGTACACAAGAACCTTTTCCCTGTCAAGTATTTCTCCATCACTGGTAAGATCCAAATTTGCCCAGTGTCAATTTCTCCCTTCACATGTACGGTGAAATTACTGTACATATATACCCCTTCACATGTACGGTGTAATTACTGTACATATATACCCCTTCACATGTACGGTGTAATTACTGTACATATATACCCCTTCACATGTACAGTGTAATTACTGTACATATATACCCCTTCAGATGTATGGTGTAATTACTGTACATATATACCCCTTCACATGAACGGTGTAATTACTGTACATATATACCCCTTCACTTGTACGGTGTAATTACTGTACATATATACCCCTTCACATGTACGGTGAAATTACTGTACATATATACGGGTATATATGTACAATAATTACACTGTACATATATACTCCTTCACATGTACAGTGGAATTACTGTACATATATCCCCCTTCACATGAACGTTGTAATACTGTACATATATACCCCTTCACATGTACAGTGTAATTACTGTATATACATGGTAGTCTGTGTACTAATATTTGCTGTCCTGATACATTTGCTCTCATTACAGATAGCGAAAAGGCTGAAGTTTAGCTAGATGTATGGTCTTACTTTCTTCCTTAAATGTTCAAACTACTGCAGCACTGCTGTGTTTTGTGAACAGTAAAATACTGTTACTTTCCTTTGTTTCAGTTATCATTGATGTTCCTACCAGATCCTGACAATGGAGTTCGACCTACAGCAGTACTAGAACTTCCACCTTCATCCATGACTTGTCCACAAGGCTTACGTAAGTTAGTTACCCATGATTTACGTTAGTTACCCATGATAACGCAAGAACTTCCACCATCATCAATGATTTGTCTCTGGGACTTATGTTACTAGGCTAGTCACCTATGACATAGGAATCTAATATCCTCTTGAAACTTGATAAATGCAAGTCTCATGGCTGAACACTGACAATGTTGACAGTACAGGAAAGTTCAAGGTCAAGAGAAGAGACGAGGGTGGTCACACCTTGCTTACCTTTCAATTTGATTCATAACATGTTTGTGTTAAGTTAACTAACCATTCTTTTTGTCTCAAAAATGAAAATTCACCAGGTTTACCATAAATTTTATCAAATTTAAGAATGTTTTTATATTTTGTCAGATATGTAATATGGTGTAGGAATCAACATTGTTTAATTTTTTGTATAAGATGCTGTACACATGACCAGGCCAGGAACAGGAGATGTCCATCCACGGGAAGATTTGAAGATCGTGAAAGAGAAGTTATTTGATCCTGCAGGTCAGTAAAATATTTAGCATTGGAAGTCCCTGTAAAGCTAAGCTTATCATAGTCAGTTGTTAATTATACCAGCTATGTATGTCTATTGCCTGATATCATCATTAAAGTGACATAATGCGAATTAATCAATTAGGCTCTTCTTGTTGCAGATGATGACAAGCCTAACATATTATGGTCTATGTACTTTAGTCAGACCTATTATGAAGATTTAAAAAGAGGGGAGAGCACTCCTGATAATATAATTGTTTTACCCGGACCTGGGCCAGAAATAGACTTAAATGATGTGGTGACTCAGGTAAGTGTTTCTCAAGGGTATCAACATAGGACCATTCTGTAATAAGATAATTTTATCCCACTCTATTCTGTTAAGAATATGAGTAACATTCATACCTGCCAACCCTGGATATACTGAAAGAGGGTGATTTTAATACCCTCTTTTAAAAATAAAAGAGGGTCATAGCGTGTGACGTCTTTTTCACAACAAATATAAGAAAAGTGTATATTAAATTAGAACTTTTAACCAACAAAATCATAGAACTGAAAAATAATGATGTCATATTTGGAAAAGCAACACATAAACAAGATATTAATGCTCTAAACAGTATTTTGCTGATTGCTAAGCACCACATTTATAAGCAAAAACTAAAAAATAGTAGACCTAATATTGCTTACTTTAAAAAAGACCTGGAAGACTACATTCGGATAGAACAGGTAATTTACAAAAAGAATATGGATTACAACAAGTTTGAAAATAAATGGTTCCAAATAATCTAACTTGATTACCTTATAGACATGCTATTATTAAGTATTTTGTAATGTGTGAATGGATGTATGAAAGTTATATGTTATGTGTATAAAATAAATTAAATGTCTTTTTTGCTATATAGGTATGTATTGGTACTCCAGTTGTACTAAACACAGCAGCATATATAATTGAACAAAAGTATATCTCTGCTCTTCAAGGCAGAATCTGAGTGTAACAAATATATGTTCAATTTGAAACTTTCTCTCGCATTCATGTTCCCCGTTGTAAAACTGTGTTGTCATTATATTAAGCAAAAAGGAAAATAAAAAAGTGTCTAATAAAAAAAAAAAAAAATAGAACTTTAATATTTTAATGATGTAAAAGGTACATTCTACATTCATTGAACTGTTTTTCCAGCAGATCTAGCTGGTCCTCATCCACAATACCAAATTCAAAGCTAAAAAAATAAAAAGATTTGTCAACAACACATAAAATAAATTCATAATAATATATATGATACTGTGTTTTCACAGGCATTAGTTTCTGTCAATAAAAATGGTCCTAACAATAAGATGTCACATTCTACTCATATAAAATACCATTTTGTTTCTGTCAATAACAATGGTCATGACAATAAGAAGTCGCACCCTACAGTTACTCATAAGTAGGGTTTTAATTCTTATTGTCAATACCATTATGTCAGACCTTTTTGTACTTTGATGGTGGTTATACGTATTATCTGTTTACAGACCCGTCAGATCTTTGTTGACATAATGCCAGGGGAGGAATTCTTGCCCCGACCCCCGAACCCAGAAGACATCATCTATGTGGACGAGAATGAGGCTACAGTTGGAGAAAATAAACAGTCAGAATTTGCTGGGGAAGAGAGCGAGACCAATAAGACTGGTGATCAGTCTGAGGGTGTCAAAGATACAGAGGAGGTTACAGCCATCCAATCAGATGAGTCAACACCAATTAAAACAGATTCTACAGTTGACCAATCAGATGAGTCAACACCAATTAAAACAGATTCTACAGTTGACCAATCAGATGAGTCATCAACAATTACAGCAGATTCCGCGGTTGACCAATCTAATGATGGGGAAAATAAACAAGATATCTCATCAGAAGTTAGTGAAATAGAAGGCTCAAAATGAAGAAAAAAAAAAGTGAAACAAAATCAGATGTAAGTGTTTCTAATTATTCCAAGTAAGTACAGGATGATATTCCCCAGGGTTGAATACTGAGCACAGATATATAGTTCTCACTGAACAACTGGACAGAATTTCATTATCATCTAAATGTGCTTCACTTATGAATGATTTATTTATCCTGTCTGACCAAAGAGTNTGTATTGACATTGGTTGTCTTTGGTAGGCTGGACTTCCTTTGTATCTAGTGTCTGTCAGAGACCCCCCCACCCTCAGTGTAAGTGTATTGACACCTCCCACACCCCGACCCCCACCCCCCCTCACCCTCAGTGTAAGTGTATTGACATTGGTTGTCTTTGGTAGGCTGGACTTCCTTTGTATCTAGTGTCTGTCAGAGACCCCCCCACCCTCAGTGTAAGTGTATTGACACCTCCCACACCCCGACCCCCACCCCCCCTCACCCTCAGTGTAAGTGTATTGACATTGGTTGTCTTTGGTAGGCTGGACTTCCTTTGTATCTAGTGTCTGTCAGAGACTACTGCTAAGATGTATTTCTAGTCCATCCCTTACATGCTTTCTCATATTTGTTGTAGCATTAATTTGTGGAACTTCATTAGAACAAGTTTATAAAATGTCACAAGATCATGTTATTGATATGTTTTATAGTTGAAGGATCATGAGACAATTCTCTGCCAGGGATAACAAGTATGACTTTGTTATAAACAGTATTTTGCAATAAATGTATTGTGCCTAAGTGTATTCACTGTGTTTAGTTTGAAAGCGAAGTGTGCAAGTCTAAGTGTGTTAACCGTGTTTTATTTTGAAAGTGTGGTGTACATGTGTCTGGCTAAGTGTGTTGTACTGGGATTTATTATGTTCCAAAAATATATAGCTAACAGGTATATTGTAGATAGCATTGTTCATGTTCAAGGATATTCAGTTTCTTTCTGAATAATCTTATATCTATATACCAAAAGTAAAGGCTACTTTAATTTTGTAACCAATAATGTTGACAATTTTATTTAACGTATTTTGATACATGTATAAGCATCCATACAGTAAAGTTAAGCTTTTTAAGGTTGATTTCTTTTCTGGATTATTAAAAAAATAATATATGCAATAATTGCATTTTGAACGTAAAAATGTCTCAGTGGCTTTTTAATTGACTCTGTATCTTCCATCCTAGTACTAATATTAATACCTGGCTGCAATATATAAAAAAAAATATCCCGTCATCAGAAAGCTACGTTATCGCAGCTGCTACCATCCCTGTCTTTAATGCTGCGGTCTGCAAATGAGAGGTTTGACTGTTGTAAACATAATGTTTGATATTTAATTAACTATTCAAGGGGATGTATTTTTTAATTATGATAACTTATTACGGTATTGAAATACTTGATTATTTTTGGTGAGCTAACACATTGCCCCCATGCCATACAAGTCTTTGGAGTGGTCTATATGAAGACATCTTGACCTGTATTAATGAAACAATTCTCATTCTCAAATATAAAAAAAAATACATTTCAGCAATGATTTGGAGCGGAATACTTTTTCACTGTCGAAGCTTTCACTTGTTTTTTATGATCGTAGCAAGTTAAAAGAATATTGATTTGAGCACAGAACTCGGGCTTTAGCAGGGTAATGGTTTTATGATACACATTCAGGCCTAGATTACTTACATTAAAGTTTGAAATGCTATAGGTTTATAACCTTTAGTAAGGGCTATAAGGTTTGATTTTCTGTGTAATTGTAGTAGAACCTGATTGTTTTCGAATTGAATCTTGTATTATTTTGAAAGCTTTATAGGTAACATTAAGTTTATACAAAAGAGGGACTGAAGTGTTTGTGTCTCTAAGAAGTATTGATAAGGCTTGAAACTTCTGAACGGTGTTTTGTAATCGCATGCTGATATCACCAATATTCATGGATTGATTTTCCCTCCTTAGCATTGTTGAACTTGGTTACATTATGTCAATAAATATGAAATGAAATCTATATTGTCTTCATTTTCCTTCTTTGAAACTACAAAACATGAATTCCCTTCCCTAAAGGTTGTGCCAACAAGAGTGATTAATTTAAGTTGAAATAACTTACGATTACTGAGCTTTTTCAAGTGTTAATGTCATTGAAATCCAGGGCCAAACAGAAAACAAAGTTTGAACGAAGTCTGGCATTCAATGCCATTGAAACAAGGTAATTTTCAGGACACGCATGTAATGATTTAAATTTGCTTTAAAACAAGTTTGATCAAGTTTTCGTAAGATGATAATGGATAACAATATGTCTTTAACCATTTCCTACATTTTCTAGTAGGAGGTGTAAGTACTATACATTTTACATTTTTTTCAAAAGACAAAATACCAGCTGCTGTTTTGGATTTTAGGAGTTTTGTTGTTGGCTATGCTAGTTGCTCAACCAAGCAGTTTCCAAACATCTTTTCATCATTCATAGAACCATTAAATCAGGGTTACATTCTCATTGTGATACTGCATACTCAGAAATGAATTTTATGGAATGTGAATTTTGAAGAATTCAAAATATCTTTCGATCAATCTCTTACATCAGAACTTTTGATCAATCTCATTCTTCACACTGCCATACCTCATACTAAACTGAAGGCAAAGGTTGATGTAATAAATGATTTTTAACTATCTTGGAACATATATTTTGTGAGAAAACAACAATAGAATACCGAAGAGTTAAAAAAAACACGAGTTTGAACTGAAAATCGCGAAATCTAGTACAAAATATTAACCAAAGCAAAAATTTACATGGATCCCATTGAAAATCTTTAAGGAGAATAAGACCAGGTGTTCCAGAAGGGAAAGTGTCATGTACGTCATGGAGGACACCTGTTTAGTCAGCCTAGGTTGAATCAAACTAATGTCACATCATCACATCGAGGGGTCAGTAAGTGACAACAACAACAAAACAAGAAGACACTAATGAGCATAGTAAAAAATATTGTCCTTCATATCACAACCAAAATATCCTATTTCCCTAGGAGATGATGATGGCCACTATTATACTTGTCCATAGCCACCATAAGTATGCATCACCGTCTGAAGTCGACATCCATCACATAGGCCATGGTATTCAGAGCAAGTTTTTGATACCTAAAAGGAAAGCAGGGTTGTTTCTATTAATAGATTGAAAGTTCACGATCGGAAAGTCAAATTTGTCCAGCTTACTGTCAAGCTGAGAGGTAACCGTCGCAGTTGGTCATGTTGTAAGTAAAGATAGCGAAAAACGCCTCTAGTAGAAGCGACTGTAGTTGCTTATACAATTAGTGCAACAACATTGTTATAAGGGCGAACTGACTGGCCGATTTGCTTCGAATAATAAATTATTGCTATAAAACCTGTTCTTAGGTTCACCACACATTTAACCATGTCGGTTGTCATCAATAAAGTAGAAGACACTTTCCCTTTCGGAACAGCTGGTCTTATTCTCCCTATATTTTCTCAAAAGTACCCCGTGTAAATCTTTCCTTTGTCATATTTGCCCTTGTTTTTTTTGTGTGTTTTTTTGCTTTTTATTGGCTAAAATCGGTGGCTACTCCAACTGCAGGTACTGTTCCACTCACTTAGGGTGATAAATATCACAGGTACTGTTCCACTCACTCAGGGTGATAAATATCACAGGTACTGTTCCACTCACTCAGGGTGATAAATATCACAAGTACTGTTCAACTCACTCAGGGTGATAAATATCACAGATACTGTTCCACTCACTCAGGGTGATAAATATCACAGATACTGTTCAACTCACTCAGGGTGATCAATATCACAGGTACTGTTCCACTCACTCAGGGTGATAAATATCACAGGTACTGTTCCACTCACTCAGGGTGATAAATATCACAGGTACTGTTCCACTCACTCAGGGTGATCAATATCACAGGTACTGTTCCACTCACCCAGGGTGATCAATATTACAGGTACTGTTCCACTCACTCAGGGTGATCAAAATCACAGGTACTGTTCCACTCTCTCAGGGTCGATCTAAACCCTTAAAACATGTAAAATTACTCTGAACACCCTATTTTAGGTCCAAATATAGCTGTAACAAATTATCAGGTCTCTGTGCTGATACTAAGAAAATAAGACATCATGTGACTCTGCAGTACAGGGAAACTGTATAAAAGAATATTATCACGTGCTTAATAGAAAGAGGAAATGTGTCCTAACATAAATGAAGTACATGTAGTATGAAAGTACCTTTTCAGGAGAGCCCGGTCTAGGGACGATTTTCCGTGTAAAGAGGGTTATCTTCGAAAGAGACTTGACAATTGAGTTAGAAAAAGGTTGCCAAGTGTTGGTACGTGCCTTAGACTCTATGAGGTAGTGCCGTTTGAGAAATCTATAAGAACCCCAAACACCGGTAACAAATTCTACTGGCAACATTGGTACTGCATGTATCAAAATCCTTCAAGAGATGGTGGCTTCATTGAAATCAGATGTACATACATTATAATCAGATGTACATACATTATAATCAGATGTACTTACATTATAATCAGATGTACATACATTAAAATCAGATGTACATACATTAAAAGAAGAACAAAGGGTGTACAGGGAGAGACAGACAAAAGTACTAGGGGAGGATTTGCACAGACTAAAGTCGATGGTCGACTACAAACAAATCACGAGGGGAATCACGACGACAAACAGGGAGAGACAGACACAGTAGCACAAATACCAGTGTTGCACCGTTTTGGTGTGTTAAACGACAGCAAAAATGAACCGGAAAAGGCGGGAAATCGTGAAAATACAGTACGACGCGATATAACACCTATTCAAAATAGTCCAACTACGTATATACGAGACATGGTGATAATAATGACATGTCTGATACAACAAGTATCCCGGTACATTTTCCGTCTTCCGTCTGTGAAAGTGTTGAAGAGCGATCGAGTAGGCTGGCGAAAAACTTTATTATAAGATTTAGAAAATAGAAGCGGAAAATAATCCGGTTCTATGTGTACGGGATTGATGGAAACACGGCATCAGAAGCTGATATAAGAGAGTTCTTACAGCAGTCTGGGACGACTGGTTCGACCGTTGTCAGTATAATGTCAGTTCTTACACCAGTCTTGGACGACTGGTTCGACCGTTGTCAGTATAAAGTCAGCCCTTACATCAGTCTGGGACGACTGGTTGGACCGTTGTCAGTATAAAGTCAGACCTTACATCAGTCTGGGCCGACTGGTTCGACCGTTGTCAGTATAAAGTCAGATCTTACATCAGTCTGGGACGACTGGTTCGACCGTAGTCAGTATAATGTCAGGCCTTACATCAGTCTGGGACGACTGGTTCGTCCGTTGTCAGTATAATGTCAGACCTTACATCAGTCTGGGACGGCTGGTTCGACCGTTGTCAGTATAATGTCAGACCTTACATCAGTCTGGGACGGCTGGTTCGACCGTTGTCAGTATAATGTCAGTTCTTACATCAGTCTGGGACGACTGGTTCGACCGTTGTCAGTATAATGTCAGTTATTCATAGAGAAATGAGACAAAAACGAGTAAGATCGATAAACGAGTCTAGGCCTAGAGATAGAGTAAATCGGTATAACGACTATAAACAGTCGGACAGCCTGGCGTTCAATAACATATGGATCATGTGAACTAGATCAGAAATTGATGTGGCAACTTTTTAATAACAAAAAAGATGAAATCAAGAAGCGGACAATCAGAATTGAAATACAATGATTCAACGTTCAGAGAACCTGAAGATATTATAGAAGTATGGTCAAACCATTTTGAAAATATTTTCAAAGAATCTTTTGATGATATGTTCGATGACGATTTCAAAAACTTCATTTTGAAAAAGATTGGTGAGATTGAAAGTGGTGTGGGCGGAGAAAAAAATGCATTTTAGAGAAAGTCTGTACTGAAGAAGTGAGGAATATTTGTTGTAAACTTAAATCCGGTAAAGCAGAAGGATCGGATACTATCGTTTATAAAAGTCTGAAGTGTAGTAATCGTAGGCTTTATGGTATGCTTGCTAAATTGTTAAATCGCATTGATGCTCACGAGTTTGTTCTCTCTAACTAAAAACGATGGCAAATCGTTACATTATATAAAAGTAATTATAAACCCACAGATGATCCGAATAGCTACAGAGGTGTAACCTTACTTCAGTTATTTTTAAAGTATTCGAAATGATTATTGCTTTTGGAACCGGTCCTATTTTGAGCTCGGACACTTTTCCAAATAAACAGCAAACAGCATATCAGAAAAAAACTTTGTAGCTTGTGTACAGCATCGAGTGCTTACAAGGGTGCAGTAAGTATTATCTGGAAAATAAGGAACATGTCACTGTAGCCTTTCTGGACAGTAACAAGGCTTTTGATACTGTTTGGCATGCTGTTTCTGGACAGTAACAAGGCTTTTGATACTGTTTGGCATGCTGTTTCTGGACAGTAACAAGGCTTTTGATACTGTTTGGCATGCTGTTTCTGGACAGTAACAAGGCTTTTGATACTGTTTGGCATGCTGTTTCTGGACAGTAACAAGGCTTTTGATACTGTTTGGCATGCTGTTTCTGGACAGTAACAAGGCTTTTGATACTGTTTGGCATGCTGTTTCTGGACAGTAACAAGGCTTTTGATACTGTTTGGCATGCTGTTTCTGGACAGTAACAAGGCTTTTGATACTGTTTGGCATGCTGTTTCTGGACAGTAACAAGGCTTTTGATACTGTTTGGCATGCTGTTTCTGGACAGTAACAAGGCTTTTGATACTGTTTTGCATGCTGTTTCTGGACAGATACAAGGCTTTTGATACTGCTTGGCATGCTGTTTCTGGACAGATACAAGGCTTTTGATACTGCTTGGCATGCTGTTTCTGGACAGATACAAGGCTTTTGATACTGCTTGGCATGCTGTTTCTGGACAGATACAAGGCTTTTGATACTGCTTGGCATGCTGTTTCTGGACAGATACAAGGCTTTTGATACTGCTTGGCATGCTGTTTCTGGACAGATACAAGGCTTTTGATACTGCTTGGCATGCTGTTTCTGGACAGATACAAGGCTTTTGATACTGCTTGGCATGCTGTTTCTGGACAGATACAAGGCTTTTGATACTGCTTGGCATGCTGTTTCTGGACAGATACAAGGCTTTTGATACTGCTTGGCATGCTGTTTCTGGACAGATACAAGGCTTTTGATACTGCTTGGCATGCTGTTTCTGGACAGATACAATGCTTTTGATACTGCTTGGCATGCTGTTTCTGGACAGATACAAGGCTTTTGATACTGCTTGGCATGCTGTTTCTGGACAGTAACGAGGCTTTTGACACTGTTTGGCATGCTGTTTCTGGACAGATACAAGGCTTTTGATACTGTTTGGCATGCTGGATTGTTGTACAAGTTGCATGAAATAGGACTTAAATCAAAGACATGAGTTATCTTAATGTATGATATGCAATAACCATAAATCGACGTGGGTTAATGTCCTAAGAGGTATCTTACAAGGAAGTGCATTGTCAGCAAAAATGCACTTGGGGGGGGGGGGGGGGGGGGGGGTAATTAATTTTCTACTGAATCAAAGAAAAGAGCGGTAAAGGTTGAACTGTAATAGGAATAACTGTTAATGTTCCTACTCAAGCTGACGATATCACATTGATTGCCACTAGAGTCAGCGATGTTAGATATATGCAAAAATATTGCAAGAAATGGAGATTTGTATTTTCTGCGACAAAGACAAAGATAATGAAATTTCATAATACCAAAAGAAAACCATTTACTAATACATTCTATCTCTATGATAACCCATTACCATATGTTGATGATATTACTCATGTTGGTGTTGCATTAAATTCGACATTAAATTCTTTCAATCGCAGCTCTAGAGCATGTTGTAAGATAACACGTGGTACTATGAGAATCATACGGAACGGTATACATCCAAGGGCTTTAAACCTAATCTCTTCATGTAAGTTAATCAAACATACGGTATATGCTTCGGCACTGTATGGTTGCGAACTTTGGTATTTGTCACTTATATTAGAACGGGTTCACAATTTTGTAATAAAATCTATACGGGGATTTGAAAGAGGAACTCGTACTGATATGCGATGCATATATACATAGTCTTATAGGATGGGAATCTATAGAAAGTATCATTGACGTCAAGAAATTACTATTTTTTGGAAGGCTATGTAGAATTGACAGGAATTCGTTATCATAAATAAGATCTTTTTGAATCGATTAATTGCAGCAGTTCTGTTGATGGATACAAATTGTTTGATTAAAATGCAGAGTTTCTGTCCAGATTTATAAAGAATAATTCAGAAGTGTAGTCTGTACAAATGTGTGGATTAATTTATAGATCATTATAATTTTCCTGATAAGAGAAACTGGAAAAACTATCAGTGAAAGTGTCTGTTTCAACCAAACAGGAAAATGATTTTAGGCAAGGAAACCATGACAGCTAGCTATATAGATATCGGAAAAGTAGCAGCTCGGTTTATTAAAAAATAGATCTTGCCATCTAAGGAATTATTTTTTTTTGGAAAAAGAGGATAAGAAAAAACCCGTCATTGGAAACAATTCAAAAGTTTTGGATATAATAATGTCAGAAATTCAATTTGAAAATGTCTTAAAAATGAACAGGAACACTGCCATGAAGGGATATGATGTATATATATGCCATCTTGATGTAATCTCTTATTGTTAAATTATATTGGGAAAGGGCTTTATATAAGTTAGAAAACTTGTGCCCAATTCCAATGTATATTTTGATGCAAATAAAATATGTTTACACACATTTTTCGAAGATCTTTCCCGTATAAAGGTAGTATATCCATGCACAAGATTTTTTTTTATAATTAATCCAGATTCCTTCTTAATCCATGTCCCCCGAAGATACCATGTTGGCTGTGGGATAAGTTAGAAAAAAAAACTCGCATTAGTACTGATATGTCGTTATGGTTCTCAACAACCTCGGTCCCTATGAGGGACAGTTTCTGATATTATATAGGTCACCGAGTGCTACAAGAAAATTAAATTCGATTCCGCCGGGGAACAAATCTAAATGCAGATAAAAGCATGGCTTAGGTAGATATTATTTTTAACTTTGTCAAATGTGTACAAACTCTCGGAAATATATGCCAACGGAACCAAGCGATATTTTTAATCATGCAACTCGCGAATCGGTAATCAGTCAAGCCGATCATCAACACCATTCGGCTACCATATTATCAAGTGACGAATGTAACATACTTTTTGTCAAAAACATCAAATATACGTAATCATAACATCTTGGACATTTTTTTTGTATAAAAATTTATTGTACTGTATTTTACTTTATTGTTGCAGTCAAAAAGCCTGAATTGTTGACCTGGCACCTTCCTTACAGTCCAAATTTTATACGAAATGTTTTGATAACGTATAGTGTGTTTTTTTGACAAAAAGTGTGTCATATTCGTCATTTGATAATAGGGAAACGTTAGCCGAATGGCAATTAAAAACGGCAAGTTTTTGAGCTTGACTGCTTACTGAGTTGTATCACGGAATTATAATAATTTAATTATCTAAGTCCGTCGTTGTATACATGTACTTCAAATATTATATTTCCGAGAGTTCATACACATTTATCAAAATTAAAATAATATAGATACCTAAGTCATGCTTTCAACAGCAGTTTCATGGTGTTCCCCGTCGAATTTAGATATGTTCCCCGGCGGCATCGTAAATCTTTTCCGTTTGTACCCGGTACGTAGGCCTATACGTAGTTGCTCGTCATTTCTGATACAGCCTATACACACACCGGAAGTTGTAAACATTAAGCGTGAATCACGTGGACTGTGACTGTAATAAGCCTTCCCTTTTACGTAGTCCACATGGTTGCGACCTTATTGTCTATTTTTGCAGCGTTTCATCGTTCAGAAGTAAAGATGTCCGGCCAGAAAGAAGTAACGTTTATAATGGTGAAACCCGATGGGGTCCAGCGGGGGCTCGTTGGCGAAATCATCAAGCGGTTCGAGAGCAGGGGTTTCCAGCTTGTCGGATGTAAAATGATGTCGGTATGTTGCAAGCTAATCTTTATTTAAAGGAGATGCCGGCCGGCATTTTGTTGTACCGGCAAAGCACATGGGACATACGTCACGCAGTAAGACACGTTGATACCTAGCATGAAGATGATGGAATGTACAACATTGTATACTTCTTTGAGTGTGACGTCATTGTCACTTGGTGACAGTGTTAATTAGTAAGAATTGTTTAATTGAGTTATGATTAACCAGGGACGTATGTGCAGCGTACTGAGTAGTACGGAAGGAGACTAAAAATACATAGTGAAAATTCTTGATTTAAGCATGAAACTTTGCTTGCCATTTATTTCAACTACTGATTCACATTATCACAGGAGTCTACAATTCTGTCAAATAAGTGTGTGGGGTGGGGTACAATGAAATCCTATGGGGATCTTTTCTTGGTACCCATGGCCACCATATTGTTAGATCTACATTTTCAAATTCTCCCCCCNCCCCCCCCCTCTTTAACCTGTTAACAGGTTGGCCAGAATGGCTCATGGGTAATAATCCTGCATTTGGGTAAAAGTTACCCATTTGAGTAACAATTTTATTACTGAAATGGGGAATAAAGTGAAATAAAAACACAAAGTTCTTTTAAAAAACTGGGAGCAAAAAGGGGCGTTATTCTTTCAACTAAATCCAATATATAACACAACAAAGTACATTTGTACACACAAATTTATTAATTCTGATGTCTAACTTTTGGTGAAAATGAGAAACCATATCTTTGATATTTTTCTCAAATTGACTTCAGAGTGTAGCTATATATAACTATATATATGGCCAATATGATCATTGAGTGCAAATGTGGCAGGGGCATGAGCATGATTTTTTTCTGTGTGCAGTTTATAGCTACTCTACAACACACTATAAGCAATGGAGGTGATACAATATTAATCTGTCATTTCCACAAAGATTTAGACAACTGAATTAACATGTTTTTTTGCGCACAATTGCATCTCCCCAGCTAGCACACAGATATCGGGCCGATATTGGGCCGATATCGGAGTCCATATCGGCCCAGTGTCGGTTTTAAGGGCGGGCCGACATCGGGCCAGCTTCCATTTGCAACACGTTTTGATGTCGGCCCGATGTCTATCCGACGTATATCCAACCTAAAAACCATATTACTCCCAGTATTTGGACAACCTATGTATGTTGGCCCGACGTTGTCCCGACATTGGCCCGATGTAAATCTGCAGTCCTCCATATCGGCCCAGTGTCGGTTCTAAGTACGGGCCGACATCTGACCAGCTTCCATTTGCAACAAGTTTGATGTCGGTCCACTATCGGCAAGTATATCGGCCCGATGTCTATCCGACGTCTTTCCAACATGAAAACCATGTTCTACCCAGTATCTAGACAGCATGTGTATGTTGGTCCGATGTTTTCCCGACATTGGCCCGATGTCAATCTGCAGTTTTTCAGTACCGATATATTAAACTTAATTATAACTACAGTTTTGAAGTTTGAAATCATCCGTAGTCTTAACAAGTTCGTAGCTATTAAACTAGTTTTTTTCATTTATTGCATATTGTTTCTATATATACATGCATACTTATAAATCAAAGAAAAAACAGCAATATATACAAAAAAACACCATGAAAAACATGAAAATATTAACATTTATTCATAATATATAACTAATCAAGCCGTTCTCAGGTGGTTATCGCTATGCCATCACTAATTCTGTTAAGAACTGTTTGACTTTCGTCACAGCATCTGAAATAAATAGAATTATTTGTCAGTGTTATAAAAAAATTCACATATAACTTATATACTATATATACATATACTACATATTCTATATTAGTATTCTTTGTGAGATCTAAAATAAACAAAATAAAGAAGGCATTGAAGTTTTTAGGTACACAATGTATTTATCTGATTGAGTGATACAGAATGGTTATGTGACATATTGTGTTGCAGTCATCCTTATTATTTATCCACAGCTTATTTATTGTCCAAACCATTAACGAAAACATTGCCATGCGAGTGCACGATAACCAGCAGTAAATTATATTAATTTCCCCATCACCAAGTGTGATCTCAATGGCAATAACTGTTTCGTTGTATGATTCTATCTGCGTAACATGCAACAAGAAACTTCCAATATATGATAAGCCTGTTACACATTATCATACCCGCAGAGATTAGGGCCTCACTGTACACATGTACAGTAGCCTCCTCAGGGCAGACTCCATTACATATGACTTAGTTATGCCTATTGGGTTACCAAACCAAAGTCAATATACCACTCCCTGTAAGAACACACCACTCTCGATATAAATATCAAATCATGTAAGAACTCAACATGCAGTTTTACAACATGAGGTGCAGAATATTAGTTTTAAAATGATGTAACTATATATAGGTACACACTTATTTTGTAAATTATAAACACTCCGTACACAATCAACTTGTAAACATTTTAGTATCACTGGCCAGATGCTCAGATTAGTTTAGATAAGACATGATCGTATGAATAAAACAGCTTACCCTCATCACCTTTCACTAGGCTTTGTCTGTCCATGAAATAATCCAAACACACTGTCCATATCTGTTATGCCTGCTGTCTTTTCTCTGTCAGTTTTGAAAATGCCGGTAACCCGTTACAAATCTGGCGCAATTTCCTGTTAGTCGGTCCGCAGTGAATACACACTTATGTTTGTATATATATATGTTTGTATATATATATACACAAAAAACGTGTATCTATTGAAACTTCGACATAAGTTTATAAGTTATCTTAGCATTGACACTTATTGAATTCAGTTTTATAAATACATTAGACAGATGCATAACGTTATGTCCATATAATTATTCTTTTTGATACAACATCGGAGTGATATCGGCCCGATGTATGGAAAATTTGTAAGGCCAGAAATCGAGTTATATAGTTTTGATGACATCGGTCCGCTATTGGGCCGATATCATTTTGTCATGTTTATGTTTTTTTTTTTATTTTGGCACTTAAACATTAAAAGCAGCCTAATCTTTCTTTTAAATAATAAATAAGTGTTAGAAATAAATATATTGAATAACAAATATATAAATAGTGATGACGGCCCGACGTCGGCCCAATAACGGCATATTTAGCCGATATTCCGCCCTTCAACCGACATCGGCCCGATATCAGCGTGCTGGCTAGGTCATTGCATCTTTCATTGGAATATGTTGAAAAAATGACGCCCCTTTTTGTTAATAATGTTTAAAAGAACTTATTGTATTTTCATTTCACTGTAATCCATTTCTGTTCCCCAAACGCAGGATTATTACTCATATGCTGTTGTAGCCAACCTGTTTAATTATTTTGATATTATTTCTTTTAAATTGGGATTTGGTTTTGATACCTGCCTATGGAGAAGAGAGGTTATATCTATACATAGTTGCCTCGTTTGTTTGTCCAACTTGTTTGCATCCAGTGGAAAATTCCACCTGAGGGGTTTCAAATTTGGCAAAACCTGAGGCATCATTGTTGAACCATTGTCACGATTCAAGTGAAATAGGGTATAAGATAGATTTTCACAACACCACTGTCCTACCCTGTCCTAATAGAATCTATCACTCCTGTGTGATGTAGACCGATATATCTCAACCAGAGGGTTGGGATATCTCTGTCTACATCACACAGGAGTGATTGTTTAATTTTCTCCCACATTTTCATACCGTAAAAAATACCTCTCACTGCGAAGTTGTTTTTTTGACCCAAATGCACCAAACTATCATCAATTAAATTCATCAACGATTCTTCCCTTTTCACCATTTTTTCCTACGGCAACACATTCGCCTATTTTGAACTATCGGAATGCTGAGCTTGCCATGTTTTGTATTATACATTTTTGTAAAAAGTGATGTAATCGGTTTTGCTCAAAGTGTACAGGGTCACAGGTCATGTTGAAAGAAGTGCATTGTCTGACGTAACGGCGCGTGTCAGCTGTCTTGATCGAAGTAAATCAAGGCAGGTTTTTCTCACATACTTCACAGGGTGATCCTGTTGTTGCTAGGGAAAAGATAACTCTATCTTACACGGGGTAGGGAAAGACAGCTGACACGCAATATGACGTCATAATAATGGTTGTCGACGTGACATTTTATTGTTTCCGTGATGTCATACAATTATTGTGAATGGGGAATCATTTGTCTCAACCCTAGGACTTTAGGATTTGCTTGAAGTATAAGATCGATGCTTATTTCGACTGGAATTTGTTTATTTGTATGTATGTGAGAGAAAAAAAATCTTACATGGGTTGAGATATCCCTGTCCATGGAACAGACCCATATAAGATTCTATTAATCTTTTCCCTACCAAAAACGGGAATGTACCTGTGAAGTGTGGGAGAAAACTCTATCTTACACACACGGAAATGAGAGAAAAAATAAAATTGTTAAGGCCAGAGGTAAAAAAATGTGGTCAGTTGGGGTACATGAAACATACATATATTACTTTTATTATTTTATTAATGACAGGATTCCTGTGATATTATTATTTAGTTTTCTCAATAAGTTTTGAAACAGGTAATTGACTTGAAAAGAATAGCCTGCTGAATGTTTACATTACATTATATACACTGTTGTTAACTGAACTAGACCTGTATATATATATTCTAAAAATAAGCCAGTTCAAAGTTGATATAAAGCAAGCTTTATTTTTCCTGCAACTGACTTTTTAATGAGAACACCACCAGATACTATACACCACAAGCACATGTATGCAAGTGCCTGACTCTTCTCTCAGGAAATATGTATGCCATTTATTACTGGCTATTTTCCATATTTCCATAACAACAGTGCTGTACAGAATTATCTCTGGTAGCCATAAAATCTGATCTGGAATTGGATGTCATGTCCCAGTATTATTTATGTTACAATTAACACTTGTCTAGCTTGTTACAATTAGCACTGGTCTAGCTTGTTACAATTAGCACTGATCTAGCTTGTTACAATTAGCACTGATCTAGCTTGTTACAATCAGCACTGATCTGCCGGGGCTCGTAGATCTAATGGTGGCCATTTGTATTTCACAATGGTATAATATTCCAACCTGTTCATTTTTCCACCCACTAATTATATAACTAGCCATGTAAAGTAATCTTTTATCATCAAAGCAATTAGAGAACTTCTTACACTAAACAGGTTGGGCACAACAGCGCATATGGGTAATAAACCTGTATTTGGGTAACAGTTTTATTGCTGAAATGGGGAATAAAGTGAAGTCAAAACACATACAGTTCTTTTAAATATTATGAACAAAAAAGGGCATTGTTAAAAAATACAATGAGGTACAATTATGCACAAAAATGTTAATTCAGTTGTCTAAATTTTTGTTAAATAGACAAATTGTATCGCATCCATTGCTTATAGTGTGTTGTAGAGGAGCTATAAATAACACACAGAAAAAAAATCATGCTCACCTGTCATATTTGCACTGAATGATCCCACTGACTACACACTAGTCAATGGAGAACAAAGTCATTGATATGGTTTATGCCGTCGTCCGGTGTCAATACTTTACTTTAAACAACTTCTTAATAACCAAAAGGCCTAAAGTGATTATATTTGGCCAGAAGCAAACTGGGATGAAGGGCTGCCAAGTTTGTTCAAATAAATGACCTTCACCCATTTTCAAGGTCACAGGAGTCAAATATGTTAAAAACTTTTAAACAACTTCTTCTGAATAACCAAAATGCACAGGGTGATGATTTTTGGCCAGAAGCATGCTGGGATAAAGGGCTACCAAGTTTGTTCAAATGAAACACCTTCACTTAATATTTAATGTTACAGGAGTCAATTGTTTAAAAAAATCACTTTAAACAACTTCTTCTGAATAACAAAAATGCCCAGGATGTTGATATTTGGTCAGTAGCAGACTAGGATGAAGAGCTACCAAGTTTGTTCAAATGAATGACCTTGAAATATATTCAAGGTCACAGGTGTCAAATATGTTAAAATCTTTAAACAATTTATTCTAAATAACCACAAGGCCTAGAATGTTGATATCTGGTCAGTAGCATGCTGGGATCAAGGGTTACTGGTTTGGTTTGGTTTAGTATTGTTTAACCTCCCATCAACAGCTATGGTCATTTATGGGCAGCCTCTCCTGTGTGCAAGATGTAGGCGTGTGTGTTTTGGGAGGCTGCGATATGTTTGTGTTTGTCTCCTTGTGATAGCGCGGAACTGATGCCGACTTTATAGTGCTACCTCACTGAAACATATCGCTGAAGACACCAAGCAGGACACCCCGGGTACCCGGTCACATTATACTGACAACGGGCAAACCAGTCCCACTTCTAAATTGCTGAGCGTTAAGCAGAAACTACCATTTTTAGACTCTGGTATATATGTCTCGTCAAGGGGACAGAATCCAAAGCCTTCCTCACAGGGACGAACACTTAACTAAAGGCCAAAAGTGAGGCATTGTCAAGGGAGACATTAGAAAGAAGAAAGTTGTTAAGAAAGAAGAGAAAAGATAAGATCCCAAACTTAGTCGCCTCTTACGATCATGCAATGGGGGCAGCATGTACATTTCTTACGCCCTACCTGCAGGGACTCGAGGGTTACCAAGTTGGTTAAAGTGAATGACCTTTACTTATATTCAAGGTATCAGGGGTCAAATTTGTTTATTTTTTGTGATAAACTGAACAAAACGATATGGGGGATATGTATAGTTTAGATCTGGTCTTTGTCCATCCAGTCTAGAGCTGTGTCTCCAAAACAAATAGTATATCTGGATGATAAGTTTACAACAATAAATCCTGTGTAAACCTCATTTTGTTGAATGATGCCCATTGAGGATGGGAGGAAGCCTCCTGATTTTGGGGACATCAAATTGAATGTCAAGGTCACAGTGGCTATAAATAAACTGAAATTTTGGAAAAAGTTGGGTTTCCTGATGCTATCAGTTGAACTTTACTTATAATTAAGATCTAAACCATTCATGGATGGATAATTATATTAATGCCCCTTGGGTAGCAGGACATCCCTATTGAATTTGTGGTCATTATGAAGTTAAAAGTGAAGGTTAAGTAGGTATAAATGGACTGAAATTTGACAAAATTATTGGTTTCAGGAACAGTTAATTTTGTTCCAAGCCTATATGAATGACGTACTTTGGGGAAAGGTTATACTTTAAGCCTATTAATTTTGGGCCACTATATATATGCCAAGATCGTCACAGTAGGTACAATTTACAATAACCTGAAATTTTGAACAAATTTGCATTTTCATAGATAAAAAATTCTGTAAGTTAATCTCAGTAGCAATATGAATTGATGACTTTCTGGTAAGCTGGTGTCTGTATTTAATTTTGTATTGTGTATTGTGTATTTTGTATTTTGTATTTTTGTATTCCTGAATGTGCACATCCATGCCTGTGGTTTGAGTACTTGTGGCTTTACTTCAGATGCAAATACTTTTTTGATATCTTGAATCAGCAAACTTGGATAAAGACCTTTGGTACATGGCATTTAATTTCCTGTCAACAAAATTCCAGTGACATCTGTAAAACTAGTTGACAATTAATAAGCTTAGCGTTAAATGTTCACCCCAGTGAGGAATGCAGTGGGTCCCGTCCCCAAGCCAGAACATTTAAAAAAATCCTTAAAAATGGAAGTTAATATTCCCTGCTAAATGTTCAGCATTTAGGGTATTGCAACAACTGGTTTAATCTTTGTCAGTATTATATGACTAGGCGGAATGCTTTGCTGGGTGTCTGTGTCTTGGCATTTCACAAAGTAAGCACTATAAAGTTGGCATAAGATCTGCACTAACTCTTACAAAATTACATTCAACAAAACAGAACCAAACCAAACTCGGCAACTCCCAATTGACACTTTGCTATCAGCGTTGGATCTTCACTTGCAAGTTTTACAAAACACACTGTAATGGCTGAAACACACCTGTAGGCTAACACACTGAAATGACTGAAACACACCTGTAGGCTAACACACTGTAATGGCTGAAACACACCTGTAGGCTGTGTAATGTACCTGTGCTATATCTACTGTAGGATATTGTTGCGTTAGTTGATCGTGAAAATAAATAAACTTTTAAAAGATGTATTTTTTAATATTTTGAACCAATATTTCTTTTTATCTTTTTAGCCATCCAAGGAGCATTTGGAGAAGCATTATGCAGACCTCAAGTCAAAATCCTTCTTCCCTGGACTTATCAAATACATGTCAAGTGGACCAGTTGTCGCCATGGTGAGTTTTTGGTTTGATATATATATATATATATATACCTAACTCCATTGTGAATTAGGATTTAACCTCCTAAGAGTAGGTCTAATTTTTAAAGCCTGTAGTTATGAGAACAGCGAAGAAAATTTCAGTGTTTTGTTTGCCCTGTGAATATGAATCATTAAAACCATTTCCGAGAAAGCCTGCAGACCAAACATGTATATATATTAACTATAAAATACTTGTCAGTGTTTGTAATTGAGTTTTTATTCAGGTTTAAACAGTATAAAATAAGCTCATATCAGTGCTTTAGTTGCCAGTTTTACTCTATATGAAGGTTGTTCAGGGTTTTTGCCAGGTGTTTATAGGGTCCGGTACACCCCATTCCTAATTGAAAAAATGACCCTGCATTTTCCCAATTTCAGTCTTTATTTTCCCAATTCGATTAAAAAGCATCTTTATACAAGTTTCAAGTTGTTATATGTGCAATGTTCAAAGTATTAACATACTTGATGTAGTATCCAAAATACATAAATAATGCAAAAATTTAAAGTGAAACAAAAACACTAAAAAGTGATGTGTTTATTTACTACTATACATCTTGTGTTTATTTACTACTCTGCATCTTGTGTTTATTTACTGCTATACATCTTGTTTATTTACTGCTATGCATCTTGTGTTTATTTACTGCTATACATCTTGCTGTAAGAAACTGCCAAAGGAAATTTTGCTAACCACATTGCAGGTTATATTTTTTCCAAACTTATGATGTTATCCCAGACCTGTACATGTGGGAACACTGTGATGTTGTTTCCCAATTTTTGCCAAATGTCGACGATACTTTCCCAATTCCTGCCCAGGGGCCCTTTCCCAAAATAGCTGACAAAACCCCTGTTACTGATAAAAGTATGCGACATTTACCAATGTAATTAGGTCTAGAGGAATTCATGGTGATAAATTAATGCTGTGAGGACTCTTGCATATACTGTATAAAGAGAAACGTTTTGAGTTCTACTGATTAATGAGTTGTATACTTAAAACATCGCTGGGTTCCATAGACATCATATTTCCGACAGTTTGTACACATTTCACAAAATTAAATTATAACTACATATATATACATACATAAGTCATGTTTAACGACAATTCCCTGGTGTTCCCCATCAAATTCTGGTATGTTCTTGGACTAAATTGTCTTTTCCGGTAGTACCCGTGGTGCTGGAGCAGGTTGTGTTTAAGTTAAAAAAGGAGCCCATTGGAAATAAGTCATAATGGCTTTATGGGTTATCAAAGGTTTGAAAGGCAAGCACATTCTTTTTTATTCTGAGCAAAATGTTTATGCAAAGATTAGCATTGCAAAAGTAAGTCAATTTTATAAGTAAAAATGGAAAATAAATACATATATAATTGTACATTTCTATACACCCGTCAAACCGTTTAAGATCAATAACTCACAAGTATTGCATATGTTCCGAGCATGTCGAGCGTATTGTGTACATCGGGTAGCTTTGTGAAAACAATTATATCAATACAGTGTTACTCTGTGCCAACAAACTTAATTATGTGCTTACTTCGGTTGTTTTATGAAATGTAATATCTTTATGTTAATGTAATGCTTTGTATGTGTGCCTTTTACGTGAATATTCAAAAAACATTATTACTACCTTGTATTAATTGTATTTCAGGGACACTAGGTAAAGGCCATGGTCATCATTAGTATTTATAGAAATGTGTCTACCAATTCAATGACATCGCTCTAGCAACATCTGTTCTGATTAAATGTAATCAAGGTGAAGCATAAGAAATTATTTTTCTAGTGGAATCATGAATGATGTAAAGAGCGATGACATTAACTTCAGTACGATCATATTAGTTTGTTTGTGATAAATATAAGAAGGAGATACTATATGGAGGGGACGCGGTGGCCAAGTCGTTAGGTGTCTGACATTCTGGTATCACTAGTTAGCCCTCCAACGTGGGGCAGTCAGATCACTAGGTAATGGCCGTCGGTAAGGTTTTTTTTCTTCAGGAACTCCGGTTTTTCTCCACCACCAAAACCTGGCATGGCATGTCCTTAAATGACCATAGCTGGTAATAGGACGTTAAACTAAAAATGTAATGTTGTTTTGACAGGCATGGCAAGGAAAGAGTGTCGTGAAGACTGGACGTGCCATGCTGGGCGCCACCAACCCCTTGGAATCCAATCCTGGCACCATTCGTGGCGACTTCTGTATAGACATTGGAAGGTATTTGTCCTTTGATCTCTTCATACATTTGCATCTTTTACTGAAATTTTACTTAACTTGTAAATATATGCACTTGTGTAAATATATGAGTCAAATAAAAATAGTACAGTGAAACATGTTTTACTTAATGCCAAGTCATCCAAGTCGTAACAATAGTATGATGACCATCATCAATGCATTAAGGTCGCGTTAACAGAAGCAGACCATGGAAGACAACTCATGAAATACAGAGAGATAATACATTAAATATAACTCATAAAAGATAATTCCAGACAAAATTGAAAAACTTTTAATGTATATACTTCATTTACTATGTCATTTATTACATCGCTGAAAACCAATATCCAGTTTATATTACAGTAATATTGACCAACCCTACTTTGTTGTATAATTGGTGTCTGATGGGCGGATCATTGTACATCTGGTTCTGGTGGGCGGTTCATTGTATGTCTGGTGTCTGGTGGGCGGTTCATTGTATGTCTGGTGGGCGGTTCATTGTATATCTGGTGTCTGGTGGGCGGTTCATTGTATATCTGTTGCCTGGTCACAGATTTATTGTATATCTGGTGTCTGGTGGGCGGTTCATTGTATATCTGTTGTCTGGTGAGTGTATCATTGTATATCTGGTGTCTGGTGGGCGGTTCATTGTATATCTGTTGCCTGGTCACAGATTTATTGTATATCTGGTGTCTGGTGGACAGTTCATTGTATGTCTGTTGCCTGGTGACAGATTTATTGTATATCTTTATTGTATATATGGTGTCTGGTGGGCGGTTCATTGGATATCTGTTGTCTGGTGAGTGTATCATTGTATATCTGGTGTCCGGTGGGCGGGTCATTGTATATCTGTTGTCTGGTGAGTGTTTCATTGTATATCTGGTGTCTGGTGGGCAGTTTATTGTATATCTGATGTCTGGTGGGCGGTTCATTGTATATCTGGTGTCTGGTGGGCGGTTTATTGTATATCTGGTGTCTGGTGAGCGGTTCTTTGTATGTCTGGTGGGCGGTTATTGTATATCTGGTTAGCGGTTCGTGTTATGTCTGATGTCTGGTGGGCGGTTCATTGTATATCTGGTGTCTGGTGGGCAGTTTATTGTATATCTGATGTCTGGTGGGCGGTTCGTTGTATGTCTGTTGCCTGGTGACAGATTTATTGTATATCTGGTGTCTGGTGGGCGGTTCATTGTATATCTGTTGGCTGGTGGGCGGTTCATTGTATATCTGTTGGCTGGTGGGCGGTTCATTGTATATCTGTTGGCTGGTGGGCGGTTCATTGTATATCTGTTGTCTGGTGGGCGGTTCATCGTATATCTGGTGTCTGGGGGGCGGTTCATTGTATATCTGTTGTCTGGTGGGCGGTTCATTGTATATCTGTTGCCTGATCACAGATTTATTGTATATCTGGTGTCTAGTGGACGGTTTGTTGTATGTCTGTTGGCTGGTGATAGATTTATTGTATATCTGGTGTCTGGTGGGTGGTTTGTTGTATGTCTGTTGCCTGGTGACAGATTTATTGTATATCTGGTGTCTAGTGGGTGGTTCATTGTATATCTGTTGTCTGGTGGGCAGTTCATTGTATATCTTGTTTCTGGTGGGCGGTTCGTTGTATGTCTGGTGGGCGGTTCATTGTATATCTGTTGCCTGGTGACAGATTTATTGTATATCTGGTGTCTGGTGGGCGGTTCATTGTATGTCTGTTGCCTGGTGACAGATTTATTGTATATCTGGTGTCTAGTGGGCGGTTCATTGTATATCTGTTGTCTGGTGGGCAGTTCATTGTATATCTTGTTTCTGGTGGGCGGTTTGTTGTATGTCTGGTGGGCGGTTCATTGTATATCTGTTGCCTGGTGACAGATTTATTGTATATCTGGTGTCTGGTGGGTGGTTCGTTGTATGTCTGTTGCCTGGTGACAGATTTATTGTATATCTGGTGTCTGGTGGGTGGTTCGTTGTATGTCTGTTGCCTGGTGACAGATCTATTGTATATCTGGTGTCTGGTGGGCGGTTCGTTGTATGTCTCTTGCCTGGTGACAGATTTATTGTATATCTGGTGTCTAGTGGGCGGTTCATTGTATATCTGTTGTCTGGTGGGCGGTTCATCGTATATCTGGTGTCTGGTGGGCGGTTCATTCTATATCTGTTGTCTGGTGGGCGGTTCATTGTATATCTGTTGCCAGGTCACAGATTTATTGTATATCTGGTGTCTAGTGGACGGTTTGTTGTATGTCTGTTGGCTGGTGATAGATTTATTGTATATCTGGTGTATGGTGGATGGTTCGTTGTATGTCTGTTGCCTGGTGACAGATCTATTGTATATCTGGTGTCTGGTGGACGGTTCGTTGTATGTCTCTTGCCTGGTGACAGATTTATAGTATATCTGGTGTCTGGTGGGTGGTTCATTGTATATCTGGTGTCTGGTGGGCTGGCTGTTCATTGTATATCTGTTGCCTGGTGACAGATTTATTGTATATCTGGTGTCTGGTGGGTGGTTCGTTGTATGTCTGTTGCCTGGTGACAGATTTATTGTATATCTGGTACTATTAAACAGAAAGAACAATTATGAAGAATCACCAGATTAAAATGAACTCCTTCACAATAGTGTAAGAGATGATTTAGGCAAAAATTGTCATTAACTGTTAATGTCTTGTCAAAAATTTATTTTTATTTTGTGGGTATTTGTGTATACTTTAATATATATATTTGTTTGTTAACAGGAACATATGTCATGGTAGTGATTCTGTTGAAAGTGGAAAGCATGAGGTTGAGCTCTGGTTTGGGGAAAAGACAGAAGACTACAGTCTATGTACAGAAAGCATGATTTATGAATGAACTGTACACAATAGAGACTAACTGTGGCCGCGATTCAGGATCAAGAAGGAACAGTGATCTGGAGGGTTGTACGATCTGTGATAAAATCATGTCGTTATATCATTTTGATAATGTTCTTGTATTTTGACCAACAAACATGACCATGAATATATGTAACACAAAAGTGTTGACTTATTTAACAATCATGTACAAGTTATATGCTGTAGAAAATCTGGCATAAATTAAAACAATAAAACACCAGCATGTCCATTTGTTACCTTTGTATATAGAGTGTTAACATTGTTGTTTGGTGTCAATTAAGATAGGAAGCTGTGAGATTTTTAGCCCACCATCATCTGATGGTGGGCTATTCAAATCACCCTGCGTCCGTGGTCCGTCGTCCGTCGTCCGTCCGTAAACAATTCTTTGTTATCGCTATTTCTCAAGAAGTACCAGAGGGATCTTTTTCAAATTTTATATGTAGGTTCCCCTTGGTCCTTAGCTGTGCAGGGCAACTTTTGAGACTGATCGGATAAACAACATGGCCGACAGGCAGCCATCTTGGATTTTGATATTGAAAGTTTGTTATCGCTATTTCTTGGGAAGTATCAGAGGGATCTTTCTCAAATTTTATATCTGGGTTCCCCTTGGTCCTGAGCTGTGCAGGGCAATTTTTAATACTGATTGGATAAACAACATGGCCCACAGTCAGCCATCTTGGATTTTGATATTGAAAGTTTGTTACCGCTATTTCTCCGAAAGAACTCGAGGGATCTTTCTTAAATTTTATATGTAGGTTCCCCTTGGTCCTTAGCTGTGCAGGGCAACTTTTGAGACTGATCGGATAAACAACATGGCCGACAGGCAGCCATCTTGGATTTTGATTTTGAAAGTTTGTTATCTCTATTTCTCAAGAAGTACCAGAGGGATCTTTCTCAAATTTTATATCTGGGTTCCCCTTGGTCCTAAGCTGTGCAGGGCAATTTTAGAGACTGATCGGATAAAAAACATGGCCGACAGGCAGCCATCTTGGATTTTGCTATTGAAAGTTTGTTATCGCTATTTCTCTGGAAGTACGGGAGGGATCTTTATCAAATTTTAAATGTAGGTTCCCCTTGATCCCTCGTTGTATATGGTATATTTTGAGACTGATCATAAAAATAAAATGGATTAAAAGAAGAACTAAACAGATCTTTCTCATATTGCAATGATCGATTCTATTTCTTTCACATTAAGTACTGTACTAGTAAATCTGTGAAATGACAAACTCACTTTGAATGTTGGCTTTCATACACATCAGTATTAAGTTTAGATCAAAAGTTACCTCTTGTTTATAATTACATGAAGGACCCAAACATTAAATAGCTCTGTTTATCTGTCCATACATCTACTATCAACAACAATTTCTACAGGGGGGAAAATTAGCTCAAATATGTTTTACTTTTGATGCAAAGATGAACCAGATAGAAACTAGCTTAAGGAGGCTCCACCCTTTCACAATTAGCCATCAGAATTCAATGAAAGTTTCACATGATGGTTATGTCACTATGTAGAGATGATTTTATGAAAATCTAAGCATTCCGATAAACTGGGGATTTATTTGTAAAAAATACCGAAAAATTGATTTTTTGTCAAATTCAACACTTTCACATTTTTTGAGCGTGTGGCATTGTTCAAAACTATTACAACAATAAAATAATGAAAAGAAACATTGCTTATCAACCCTACAAATATTTTATTTATCATAAAATATCTACAACATGTTACAAAAAGCGTTTTTTATTGAAACTATATGGATAAAAGTTACTAAATACAAGCCAAAATCAAACAGGACACATAGTTACATACAAAAAGAGTGAAAAATTGAACCAAATACACACAAAGTCTTTATAATTAATTTATTTTACATTTTACAATTATTTTGATCCTGATGAGAGTTGTCTACCTTGAAAAAAATCGGAACTTTTTGCAGAGGGATAGAATTTATACAATGACACTTATTTTATTTAATATACCAAAAACGACGGAAATAAATTAAATTACTATATTTATTTGTCAATTTACTGTTCTTTTATGGAACAAAATTACTCTCAATCATGTACACTTTGGACATCATTCCATAGCCTGCTTACGCATGGTATATTAACATGTCAGGTACACATGACATGTAACCATAGGCTATCGCATGGTATGCCGTTATTACGTGCACGCACATGCACTTGCATTTTATAGGGATCTTGATATTTTACAAACCACTATTTTCACAGAGTTATTGTAGACAGAGCGTAACTCGCTCGACAAAAAAAGTCGTAGCGACCAAGAGCTTTTGAACTACTGTTAGCACGTGATACGTACAGGTGAGGTCGGTAAACAAAACACATCAGTCTGCATTCCAGGCGCCTCATATACGACCTTCTTGAAGTCGTCTGATCGTATGTCAGTGTTTTCCCGTGAGTTAATTAATGTCTTTGTATCATAAGCTTTATTTCTGAAGTCCGTGTGATTACACATTTCCAAGTTAAGTCTAGATATCGGGTTGTTGACATATCACGTCACGCACGTGTACTTTTGTTTACCCGGTGCAGGGACAGTATATAGAGGGGATTGGCAACTCTGCCCCAGTCAAGATTCTATAGCACGTCGCTTTTGTGTTTGTTCACCGAACCGCGAAGTCATCGAGAGCCCCTCTCGATCAGCCTGCGCTTGCGCACTAGCGTTTAAATTAAGCACGCACCTGCTTTTGGTGTCATGTCACAATCTCGCCGAGATCGAAATGTTTTGATAACGGTTAGCCCTAATTGGGACTGTGTATTAGTAGGTCTTCTTTTTATTCCAGGGACAGGGCTATCGTTGCCACTATGTCTAGCCTTTCGGCTGTGTTGGTGGCTATTACAACAAATCACATTTCGTAAAGCACGTTCCAGTGAAAATAATGCTAATATTGACACTTTTTGACACAAAAACAGCACAAGTTATTTGTTATTTTTTGCCATAAAAATTAGTACTACATATCAAAAAATTATTCAACTTTCTATCGCTGTAAATTTCAAAAAGAAGTATTTTTTAAATGAGCTGATCCTCGAATGCAGGCGATACTTTTTTGTTGCGTTTAACATTTCCGGTTGTTTACGGTTTTTAACAACACGTGTCCTTCGTTATCAGACGAGTAATTTCATCTGTGACATCGCTATCGTTCCAAATAATGCAAATCAAATCAGGCCTACTTAACATAGAAATTACTCGGCTGTTTATTGATATTAATTGTTTTAAAAAATACAAACGATAGTTTATAAAATTAATCAAAACAGTGAGCAGTTACCAACTACTTTCGCCATGATTTACGTTCCAGTGAAAAATATTGCTGATATTTACACTTTTTGACACAAAAATAACATAAGTTAAATTATATTAATTGCAATTAAAATGGGTTGGGTCGTTATAAAAATTATTCAGCTTTCTATTGCTGATAATTAAAAAAAGATCGGTCAAATACTTTTGGAGTGAGGTGGTTCACATACATGTGGTGTTTTTTTTTATCCCGCATTTTTGTCTATCGACGCCCACCACAATACTCTGAACCACGCGTTACATCGCGTTTAAAAATAGAAAAATATACCCCAAAAACGAGACATCAATTACTATGATACCACAGATTTTATCAATTAAAAGTAATACAATCAGCTTATTACAATGGGATAAACAAAAGACGTAAGAACACTTATCGAGATTGGTTTGTTTTCACACCAACTTCTGCATCTAACGAAGCGGTATCGACGCCATCTTGCTTTGTCAAAATTGAGATAGGTGGCGCTCGCTATCTGCTCCGGAATCAGGGGGAGGTAAGTCTAGATTGACGTGTCATAAAATTGGTAAGGCAGAGAGGGAGTTGCTAATCCCCTTCACTATACGTCCCTGCCCGGTGTTACTATAATTTACACTACGGTAATGGAATGCCCGATACGCAATACGGAAATGACGACACGAAAATACGACAAGAAAAACATGTGTATTACGAAGGGTGGAAACTCCTTAATTATGATAAAACTGATGAAATTGGTCGGCATGTATCGTGTGCAGAGACAAAGGTAGAGTTTGAATGTAAGCAAAGTCTATATATGATCCATTAGCTTAGTAGCTATAGAGTCTGATTGTTCAATGTTTTTCAAACCATATCGTATCACATTTAAATTGATTTTAATGAAATGAAATATGTTGGAAATCAAAAGAAAAGGATTCTATCTTGAGGATGAATGTAACATGCACACACAGTTGACTGAATCTTTAAAATTTGGTAATAGATAATGTATGTCAACAAATTAGTTGAACTGCGTCATACAGTTGCTTCCCTTTTCTAGGACTTCTCGGTGTTGATATGAGTAACTAGAGGTACAGAGGGCCTGTATCTCTAATCTGGATTTGTATGCCCAGCAATGGTATATATGGCTTTAGGTTAAGAATCTCAACCATTTCAAAGTGTTGGCCCAGAAATTAAGTCACTATGGCCCCACAAGAGTAAAAACTAATTATAATTGTGTTCATATGGTTATGGGGTGGGGATCACAATTGTTTCAAAGTAATGGCCCAATAATTAAGTCCCTAGGGGTAGAACCAGTACCCAAGGTCAATTATTAAAAATGACTATTTATCTCTTTATGCTTATTTGATGGATGTATGGTTATGGAGTGGAGAACTCAACTGTTATAAAGTTAAGGCCCAAGGATTGAGACCATAGGGGTTGGCCCAGACCCAAGAGTCAATTATAATATCATGACTGTATTTATATGGTTATTGGGTACGGATCTAAACTGTTGGGGCACAACCTCCATGTATACAAAATTGAATCCCCTTTGGCTTAAGACACTGCAGGCCAAATTTATTTAAAATCCACATAACCGTTCAGGACTAGTACAGTTCAAAAGAAAAAGTTGATGGACGGACGACACTTTAGGTAGGTGACCTAAATATATTGGAAATTAAAATTGTCTCGAGTTACTGTGCAAACAAAGACAGGTTCTTTACAGGATGTTAATTTAATATTTGTTATTGCTATCATGGTATGACTTATGTAATGTTCAATGCTTAAAACGCATAACATTCTGGAACGTCTAATTATTATCCCAAAGGGCAAGTGAGCTTATGTAATAGTGCGTCGTCATCAACTTTTCACTTTAAACAACTTTTTCTCAGTAACCAAAAGGCGTAGGGTGATGATATTTGCATGTTTGGATGAAGGGCTACCAAGTTTGTTCAAATGAATGACCTTCAT